TAAATTTTTAGTGACTAATAGTGGGAGGCAACAACCTCCAATTATTAATAGGTATATTACCACACACTAAGCTAAATATGTACTCATAAAACTTCCCCAATATAAAGGTTCTCCTCACATCATCAGAAAGATCTTTTAGCTGTACAGCTGAAGCCCATTTTTGAAGGTTTTGTGAGCTCAGAGTAGCACTGAGTCATGGTAATGACCATTTTATGTGCCGTAGAGAAAGTTGGGCCCATGGTGTTGCAGTCCAAAGGAAGTCTCAGGGTGAAATAGTGCTCTGATAGTAGAGCAGCACTCTTACAGTGCCATGTTCCCCTGAAAGTCCCATCATGTAAGCTAGAGAACAGCCATCTATATACCCTGAGTCAGACTACAGGCAGTAGCTGAGAGTAGGGAGAAGGGCTGCCTCAGCAGTTTAGCAGGTTAACCATTTTTTTCTTTTAGCTGGAGAATGTCATTTTTTTCAAGGTAGGCTGTAATGTTCCTGGCCTGACGTGGCTACTGAAAATCATATCGCTTTTCAAGTTTGGCTCCTAACTTAACCCTATGATGCTGAGGTGACTTGCAAAGACTTGCTGTACTATAGGATTAGGGTTTTTTTTTATTTTCAGTATTAATATGGTTGAAATTTCAAAAGCTGTATTGTGCTCTCTTTAAAATATCCAATGCAAAAGTGCCTTTTTTTAAAGGAAGTCAGAATTTTCCTAGAGAGCTCAACATGGCTTTATGATTAAGATGGAGACTGGGGAAGGGAATTCTATTCATGGCTCTACCTTAAATGTACTATGTGGCTTTGAACAAGTCACTAAGAGCCAAATTCATACAAAAATGTGTCCTTTAATTTAGAATGCCTCAGGTTTTGGATCCCCAAATTGAGACATCGAGGCCCTGATTTCCAGAGGTGCTGATCACCTGGATTTCCCTTTGACTTCACCTCCTTATGCCTATTTTCTCATTTGTAAAATGGGGGAATAATACTTATCTCCCTTATGGGGATCTTTTGAAGCTAAATTCATTAATTTGTAAAGCACATGAAGAGTCAAAAATGAAAAGTGCTATATGAATTTAATCCTGCACCACTCAAGTAAATGGAAGCTTTGCCATTAAATTGATCAGGTGCAGGATTGAACCTTATAAGTCCAAGCTATTACTATTGTCATTATTTAGTATACTAATCGCTTGATAACTAGAGCTGGGCAGAGAAAGACAATTCTGATTCGCAGAAGATTTTGTTATTTCAAAATCTGGTTTCATGATGATTAGGAACAAAACTTACTCAGTGGGTCAGGTAAGGTAAAGAGTAAGGTATTTAATGCCCCTTTTGCTTCAGTCTTCATTAAAAAGGTTACTTGTGACTAGATGCTGAATATAAGAACATAAGAACGGCCATACTGCGTCAGACCAAAAGTCCATCTAGCCCAGTATCCTGTCTTCTGACAGTGGCCAATGTCAGGTGCCCCAGAGGGAATGAACAGAAACACGTAATCGTCAAGTGATCCATCCCATGTTGCCCATTCCCAGCTTCTGGCAAACACAGGCTAGGGACACTATCCCTGCCCATCCTGACTAATAGACATTGATGGATCTATCCTCCATGAACACAATTAATATTAACAACAAAGGGTAAAGAACATAAGCCAGAATAGAGAAAGAACAGGTTAAAGAATATTTAGCTAAATTAGACATATTCGGGTCAGCAGGGCTGGATGACATTCATACTACAGTTCATAAGAACCAAACTGAAACAATCTTGGACCCATAAGAGATTATCTTTTAGAATCCATGGAGGAGAATGATGTCCCAGGGGACTTGAAAAGGGCAAACATAGTTTAAGCATCTTTAAAAGGGGGGACTAAAAGGACACGGGGAATTATAGATCAGTCAGCCTATGGAAAGATACTGGAACACAATTACACAATCAATTTCTAAGCACCTAGAGGTTAAGAGGATAAGTAATAGCCAAAATGAATCTGTCAAGAACAAATAACACCAAACTAACCTAATTTCCTTCTTTGACAGGGTTACTGACTTTATCTTAATTACAACATGCATAAGAACATTTGTGTTACTTCAACTCTCTCTCTCTCTCTTCTCTCTCTCTCTCTCTCTCTCTCTATTTGCCCCATGAGCTAAAATTGAGACCTCTAAGGGGAAAAATTGCATTATGGCATTAATTATGCTAGTAAGGAAACGATTACTCAGGATAAGCCTTTTTTCTTTTCTTTTTCTTCTGCACATGGGTTGGGTTGCAAGAACTTAGCTCACCATATAATTCACTGACTTGAAAACAGATCATTTTTATGTTGTCTACAGTTCAATAGTAGTTTCAGGGATGACAAAGAGTAGTGACTACCCTACACATCTAGCTAATTACATAAGCCTTCTTTAGCATACATGGAAGCAATATAGTACAAAGCATTCTAATGCATATGAAAGATTAATTGGAGGATTAGCACATCTGTTACACAAAAGTATTGGTTTTAAACTGTACGTGCCTTCACTCAGCCTTCATGAAATAAAATACTTATAATGTAATTCAGCCAAATTCCATTAATCATTGCATCACTGCAACCCCCTGGGCTTTGAAAAAAGCCAATGGTGTTGCCAGGGTAAACAGAGGGCAGAACTTAGCCCGCTGAGATCTCTTTCTTTTTATAAATTGACTACGTATCTCTTCATTCTAGTGTAATTATATTTTTAATCTTCTGCGGGTTTTTTGCTCCTGTCATTGCTATAACTTTTTTATGCTCAGATTTCATTCTTCACATTTATATCTAATTAATTTTACAAGCATTTAAATGAAAAACATATTAGTGACGCTTTAATTTAGACAACTACTAACTTATGCAATCACATATGTCTCCATTACCTTACTCTCCCACTCTTACTCATGGGGCTTGATCCAACATCACTGAAGTCAATGGAACAGTTACCATTGAGTGCAGTGGACATTTGATCAGTATTGTCTATATCCAGCTCTCTGGAGCAGGATCTATGTTATTTGTTTGTACAGTGCCTAGTACAATGGGATCCTAACCCCAATATGGGATCCATAAATTCAGCACAACAAAAATATTAATAAATAATGACAACAACAACAGAAGGGCTGGGTGACCACTCTCAAACTGCGGCCACACTCAAATTATAATGAGAAGGTGTGGCACGGGGACTACAGGGCCAATATATAATGCTTCATCTTGAGCCGAACAGAAATCGCTCAGTTCAAGAGTTAGCATGGCTTTTATTTTATGAGGTCAACAGCAATTTCCTCCATTTTATAAAAATTAGGCCTGGCCCTTGATCTCCTGGCACATTGCCAATGTAGCCCTCCAGTTTAACAAAGTTTGCACTCAATTATTTTAATTATTTAAGCTTATAAAAGTTAAGCTTTTTTAAATACAAAACCAAAGTTATAGTAATGTTAAAGATCTGATCTGGCTATCACCCCACGCGTAGGTCACTGTATAGTACTTCGCCATATCATGGTTCTCAGAACAATGTGGGATTATTCACCAAATGTGTAATACATACAAGGACAAGTTGAATAACTACCTTACCCCAGATTAACCTCACTTATGTTAGTTTCTGTGCGCTCTTTAGGACTGATGTAACAAAATAAGTTGAATTCAATTGCCACTAGTTGTGTATTTTTATATATATATAAATTAAGAGGTGAAAACCTTCCAGGGATATACTCCCCCTGCTTATTTGGACATGGAGTTAACTGGACCAATTACAATTCTTCTACAGGAGGACAGGGCCAAGGCACAATGCCTAAGTGTTTGGGCTCTATTACGAAGAGCAAGGAGGGGTTAGGGAAGTGCAATGTACTCCCCTAACTCAATGTCAAGAAGCATAGCAGCCCTCTTTCCCCTCTTACACACACAATTGCTATTCCAGTATGTGTGTCAGATCCTCCGTGCCAAGTATGCGCAGTGATGGAGCTACTGGATATGTGGAAACATAGCTCCTGTGCAGGGCCGGCTCTAGGCACCAGCGTTCCAAGCATGTGCCTGGGGCGGCACTTTTTAAGGGGTGGCATTTTGGCCCTTTGAGGGTGGCACTTTCAAGGGGTGGCACTCCGGCTGTTTTGTTGTTGCTTGGGGCAGCAAAAAACCTGGAGCCAGCCCTGCTTCTGTGGCTGCTCCAAGACTGTACCCCAGCTCTCGCATATTGTAGCTTTCTGGATGGACCCATCTCAGTTTGCTCACTTCTTTCCTCAACTTGCCCAGTCTAAACTGTCTTCCTCAGAATGGAGGTGACTGACCACCCCAACTGCCCACTGGAGATTCATGCATGAAGGAGCCCCTCCCTACATAAACCTGGGATGATCCTACCAAATAACTGTCATCATCTTGGGCCAAGTTCTGTTGCCAGAAGAAACTTCACCAAGTGGGAAAACATGTAGCATGTTGGTGGAGGAGAAAGGAGTGAAATTCTCCTGTGTGGTTAGGGCAAATGCTGTTCAGTCTACACTACACAGAACTTAGTAAGAAAATATTGAGATGGGACCAGAGGGAAAAAGTTAATGAGGGAAAAAAGATGACATGGAATAATGTGGAGTGAAAAGAGCCCAGCAACCTGCCCTTTACCCCCTCCTTAAACCCTTCTTCTACTCCTTTAAATACATTATTTTAATAAAATGTTTTCCTAAGCCATTCCGGAATAGAACAAACTATGCCAGTATATTGTGCATTGAAGTTAAAGCATAGTTTTCTGCTACGTTAAGTTTTATGACATGAGTTTGTACGGAAAGGTTTTAGGAGCAACTCTGTTCCATTCTGCCAGTTTATGTTGTTCATTTCTTCTTGTGCAAGCACCCTGAAAAACGATCCATAGAAAAGTAAAGCCATGCAATATTTAAAAAGCACAATTATATCCAAAGGAGGAATAAAAACGATTCATTCTTTGAACTTCACTTGTGAGAGTTTTCTGGAAGGGAAAAGGGAGATACAGCAACATAAATCAGTGGTTAATACAGCCAAAGACGCCTACACATCTGTTTAGTTTTTATTTTTGTAAAAAAAACAAAAAACCCACCAGATTTATTAGTGCCAGTGAATGTTCATTGTAAGGTAACAGGAACTAAGCTAATCTGAGTAGCAACTTACATCAAAGGATATCAAAATAATATTTCTTGTAAGTGAAACATAACATTTCATTTTAACTCTGTTCTTGCTGACTAGAAGTCCCACTTACCTGCCTATGAAACCTTTAAGTTGCTACAGTCAAACAGGGTTCTGGTAGAACTTGGCACAATTTAACTGTTCATCCATACAACACCTCTCACCTTTCTGGAGCACTCATTCATACATACTTACATAATGCATATACATCATGACTAAAGCCATGTATGGCCTAAAGCACATAGAATAGTTCATTCTAAAATAACATATTTCTACATCAAAAGCAGGTCACTGTATTTACAGCAGATGATCTAAGCTTTGCAGATGGGCTTTTGCTTGAAGATCTTTTCATTGACATACATTAAAACGTTCAAGTTGTCAAATTATTTATCAAATTAAAGATGTATCTACAGGAAGATCTGTTTGATCATGTGCAAGAATTCTAAGGCAATAGTAGTAGTTGTTCCACAGGACTAGTGCTGCCATTGCAATGATCTCGTCATACGTGTAATAAGTCTTTATTCTTCAGATGCAGCCAGGCATAGTGAGACATTCATGATCTGCAGGTTGTTGGCTCAAAGGTCTAAAACGTCTTCATTAAGTGTTTAATATTCATGGAATAGCACCATAGAAATTCTCTTTCAACAACAAATCCTGTTTGTTTTTTGCCATTACAGAAATTCTTATTTTCAGAAAACAAATTATACTGTTCTTTCAACGGGTTGGGAAACGTTTTTTTTGGATAGTACTTTCAGCTTTGTTTCTGATTAGCTAAAATGGATAATTAGCTCATTCATAAAATGTTCCAAGGAAATACAAGTTAGCAGCAGTTATAATTTTACTACTGAAAATGAAATCAGTAATTGGAGTTTCAGATGATTCTATTCATGATTATTTCTGTTTCCCAGTGGATAAAGATTTTGATTTACAACAGGTCTGTTAAACATTAACTCAGTCTCTTATCTGGCTCAGTGCAAAATAAGAGCACATCATCAGTTATAGCTTACTTAACCAATACACTTGACATTTTCAATTACTTACTATCCAAATTCTGAGTGTACTAATAATGGCGATGAATAAAATGTTTCAGACTTTTCAATATGCTGGTAAAATGAAATCAATTACGCTTCAGGAGATGTGATTTTCCAGTTTCAAAATATTGGTAAACTAACAGGAGAGATGAATCCCTACCAAAGTACAAACCAACCTCAGAAGACTTTCCCATTTCATATCTCCTTTTATGGCCTTCGCATGCATTGTATCCTTGATACAAAGCCAAAGCAATTTCAATAATATATAAGGACAGTTTTCTGTGTGTGTGACCTGAAGGAGCATTTTTTCTCCTGGACCAGATAATTTTCAGAAGGAAGAACAGTCTGCAAGGTCACTTCCACTGAATTTAAGTGATTGAATCTGCAAGCATCTATACAAACATCAAGCTGGAAACAAAAGCTTTTATAGTTTCCCTGGAAGCATGCAATGCCCTTTCACCAGCTTTGCAGAGACAGTCAAGCATGGAGCCCACATGTCATCACCATGTCCATTCCATTGGGATAGGTGAAAGTTTCATTGTGAACTAAAATGTTTCTGGTCATATACGTTTTGCTTCCAACTGAACCCATTATATAAAACATTTGTGCTAATAATGTCAGTAAAAAAATACGGCTTCCTTCCTCTCCATCACACTAATTCTCTCTTTCTTATTTTCTGGCATAGAGGTTCTTGCGTTATTTTTTGGTGTGAATGCTATCTTGATATTTTATACTTTTGTATCGTATATGAAATCCTTTCTTGTTGATTGTATCATCAGTATGAAAATGGAGTAAAACGGCATCCCCAGCTGAATAAATTTCTTCTGGTGGCTAGAATAAATAAATACATAAGTAAAGTTATTTTTTTCACCTTTTACTCTATTAGTTCTTTTTCAGATAAGATCTTTTCCTATGGATTTTTTCATTCCTCTTTAAGCAGTATAATTTAATAGCACCATTCACAGTTGATAGAACCAATACCACCACTCAAAGTGGATACAACACCTTTACACAGGCAGCACTAGGTCTTAGTCTAACATTATAAAACAATGCAGCAACAAATTTCAGAGACTCATACAGCATTTTTCCAGACCAACATAGTGAAAAATGGAATAGGACTATACATACTGGAACAGACTCATGGTCTATCTTGTTCAGTAGCCTGTCTCTAACAGTGGTCAGAACCAGATGCTTTAGAGGAAGATGGAAGAAACCCCACAGTAGGCAGAGGTGAGATAATCTCCACTCCAAGAAAGCCTTCTCCTAGCCCCTAAGAGGATAACCCTGAAGTATGAGGTTTTAACCTTTTTTAGTATTAACTATTATAACTGGAAATTCTTATTATCCATCCAGTCCCTCTTTGAATCTTAAATTCCTGGCATAAATGACATCATGTGGCAATGAGTTCCACAGCCTAGCTATGTGTTGTGTAAAAAAGTATTTCCTTTATCAGTTTTGAATTTGCCACCTTTCCATTCTATTGAATGTTCCCTTGATTTAGTATTATGAGGCTGGCAGAACTGAAGCTCCCAATCTATCTTCTCTATACCACTGATTATTTTAGGTAGTTTTATCACATCTCATTTTATTCATCCCTTTTTAAAGGGAAACAATCCCAATCTTTTCCGTTACTCTTTATGTGAAAGTTTTTCCATGCCCCAAATCATTCTCATCACCCTTTCCCGCTCTCCCTCTATTCTGCTGTATTTCCTATGGGGTGACCAGCAATGTACACAGTATTCCACATGAAGATTAACCACTGATTTATATAATGGCATTATGTAATTTTCTGTATTGTTCTCTACCCCATTCTTATGGTAGCCTAACATTTTGTTTGCTTTTTTCACTGTAGTTGCACCATGATCAGAAGCCTTCGTTGAGCTGTCCACAATGATGTCCAGGTCCTTTGTCCTAAGCTACACTCTAAGGGTATTAGTAGTTCATGTTTTTTCCTCTAATGTTATTACTTTGTATTTATCAGTATTGAATTTTATCTGCTATCATGTTTCCCATTCACCTAACTTGAGTAGGTCTCTCTGAAGTCTCCTCTGGATAGACTAACTTATATAATGAAATTATAACAATTCAATACACCAAAACATAGTTGGCTAAATTCTGCTTTCCACTGTACTGTACAAATCCAGAGTAATCTCACTGAAATCAGAGGCGATAGTCTGGAATTATACGGCCATAATGGAGAGCAGAATATTGTCTAATTTGGATGCTCTGCTAAAAATCCATCCTAGTACAGTAAAGTCTAGAAAAGCCAGATGGCAACTAAACTGTGTAATGTAGACATGACAAACTAGAATAGCTGGCCTCAAGAAAACTAGTCATGGGTAAATTTTTAAAGGTTAACACATTCAGTGCAGTTAGAATGCTTGTTTGGAGTGGATCCAAACTTTTAGATTCCTACTCTTTCTATCTCCACAATCGCTCCTACATACCACAATTAACCTCTCTCCCATTCATGACCACCCCTATCTTCTGATGATCCCATTGCTTAGCACAGCAGCTCTATTGGGATCTGGTTTATACTGAATTCAAATTTTGCCCCACGTGAGGCTGTGTTCCCAGAGTGCCTATTGTGCCCTTGACTGCATAAGGTTTGTAATTATTGGTGGTCACACTAGCACTGCAATGAGATCAACAACATATGTATAACTGTAAATACAGACAATAGAGACTGAGCAAGCAGAAGGCTGGGACCCACTAGAGGGTCATAGCTTAGGAAGGATTCTATTATCTATAAGAATATTGCAGGGTAGGGAAGTGAGCTTCAGGTGTGTTGGGAGTCCAAAAGAAGAGTTAGAGTTTTCTGAAACGTGCATAAAAGGTTTGAAACTAGGTCAAAAGGTCTAGGCCATTTTTTTTCTGAACTACCTCTCCCTTTATTAAAGGAGGTTAGTTTAGTATAAACTAAATATAAAACCTGGAGCGTGCCACTTGAAAAATATTTAAGATTTGTATTAATGTAGCCTCTGCTGTTCCTTGTACTGACAGATCAGTTATACAAATGATGGACAATAACACATCTGGAGCTTTTATACTACACTATGATGTGATCAGTTTCATTTTTATAGCAGGTAATAGCAAGAAGGATGAGATGAGTGAATAGCTTTAGAGAAAGCTAAAACAGTCAGAACATTTACCCCATCATAAAACTATGAATTGTGTCATCTGGAGGGTGGAACGGGGCTCTGTTCTGCCACCTTTACTCATATTTTGGGACTACTGATAAAGGTACTGAGGTACTGCTCAGTGTAGAATGTCAGAATTGGGCCCCTAGCAGTAGTTTTGTTGTTTTGAGGGTTAGTTAAGGTTCTATCATTCCCTCAAGCTTAATATGCTTAAAAAGGGGTTGATTTGGCTCTGTTCAGAGCAAGTCAGCCTGAGGTTGACATCTATCTGGATCCCAGGGCCGGCTCCAGGCACCAGCTTAACAAGCAGGTGCTTGGGGCGGCCAAAGGAGAGGGGCGGCACCTGCAGCAATTCGGGGGCGGCAGGTCCCTCACTCCCTCTAGGAGCGAAGGACCTGCCTCTGAACTGCCGCCGCCGATCGCGGTCTTTTTTTTTTTTTTCCAATTGCTGCCGTCCGTTATTTTTTTTTTTTTTTTTTGCTTGGGGCGGCAGAAATGCTGGAGCCGGCCCTGCTGGATCCTCATACTTCATAGGCCCAGACTATTCTTGGTCCCAACATGGCTGTGCAGGGGAGTAAATGCTACCACCTCATGTCGGATCTTGTCAAATCCTGGGTCTACGTGCAGTGAGAGAAACAGAACAAGAAGCAAGAGCTGTACACCAGATACTTACCTTCTTTCCCTGTGAGCAAGTGGGTGGAGCCCTGACTCCCCTTTCCTCAACACACTGGGCCTGCAGAGCTAGGCCAATGCAAAGGGAGACGTAAGTTGCACCCTTTCAGGGGGGCAGTAAGTTATCTTCTCCCAGGAGCCACAATTCCTTTTCAGAGATCCTACTTGGATGGCACAGTGGCACAGCTATGCAAAACTGCCTACTTAAGCTAAAATTATTCTCTCATTCTAGGCCTATATTTCTTTAGAATCAGGTTAGAAATCAGAATGGAACAAGAGAACAAACCATGTGACAGACGTTAGTCACATTGCTTAATGCAGTACTACAAAGTGCCCAGATATTAAAGTGACGAGTGCAGTATAAAAACCTATACAGAACAGACTAAACAATTTTACTTTCAACTTCATATGCACTAGCATAATGATGCAATACTCTGGCTACAAAGACCACAGAATACTTATTGACTGAAAATATTTCAATGGCATATTTTTTGAAATCATAAAAACATATCTATTGTTCCCAGATTTTGGAAAAATATTTTATTTATTTTTGACAAAACCTACAGCTTGGAGAAAACTACCTGACAGTGACCCTGTAAGAATTTTTATTTTGTAGCTTTTCTGTGCATAAATATAAGCTTCAGTTACTGATTACTTACCCCCGATCCGCAAAATCGACCAAGTCTCACACCTGTTGTATCATGGCCATCAAAGAGTTCAATGTAGTCATAACCACAATCTGCCTCTTCTTCCACCTCAAATGTCTGAAATGTTAACTCTACTCGGTAGCCACGCTCTGATACTAACAACCACTCACAGTCCATTTGAACTGGATAGTTGTTGTCACCAAACTGAGCATGAGAGTACAGATCTCTAGGCTTCGATTCAGCTTTCAGTCGACCACCACACTCTGCATGAAGGAAACAAATAAAGAATAAGGAAAAGCTTGCTTCAGTACAGCTCATCATTCCCTTTTCCTGTAAGGCTAGCCTTGCTCAGGATGAGTAGGTCCTTACCACACAAATAGATCTATGGAAGTTAATGGGACTACTTTGCACAGTGAGGTACTACTCTGAATAAGGGTGGCAGAACCTGGCCCATAATGTAAAATTTATTTTTTAAAGTAAATGGACCCAATTCTGCTTACTGTGCCTGAGTAGTAATTTACAACTTCAATGGAACTTCTTGGCTATAAGGTACTAAAAGGGAGCAAGGAAACCCTTGTGCCCTGCTAAGGTCCAAATGTGGAACTGAATGTGAGGTGAAGAATCAAAATGAGAGTCCAAAAAAATTTAAATTGTAATAAAATACTGCAGAATTCATTCCTTTCCTCTTTTTATAGCCTTAGATACATCATTTCCCGTTATGTAAATAACTTTTAACAAAAGAGGACAGCAAATTTGCAGAGAATGTAGATAAACTGTGTGATATCCTTCATAATATACATTTGAGATGCACATAAGGGCAGCCAAATCAAACTTTATACTGGGGCATTACATACTGTATGTCAATATTTTCATAATATATCTATTTATATGACTTAGTAAATTTCTAATTATATGGGTTAAGATACATGTTGCTTTACAGATTCACTCAGGTGTAGCTTGTCAAAAAAATTCTGAGTTTAAAAATGTGTATATTACAACATTTTATAGAAAAAATGGTTTTGAAAAATGTTACATTTCACTTCATGAAAAAGAATGTTAAGACCCATAAACTGGGCTACAAATAGTTTGCTTGACAGAAGCAGCTATTATTGTATATTTGAAGATCAAAACATAACTATGTTTACTTCTTCTGTCTAAACATTTTAACTAGTTTCAATTAATAAATATTTGTTCATTATACATTTTCATTGTGTTTAGCTTTCTATACTACATCAGTGAGTTAAAGTTAAAGGCACTATTTAAAAGCAGCTAGGAATACATGTAAAACTGTATTTTGAAAAAAGGTTTGGCTGGGTTCTTTTAATTTTAACACCTATGGAGATTTCAATTAAAACAGATCACTTATTTTTACAGGTTCATCTGCTCCTTATTTCTCACCAGGCCACAATCGTCTGCTTATGACATTCATTTCTACAGTAACTATAACAAAATCTGTTTATGTTAGGATCCTGCACAGCGGCATTAAATTTTATGATCAGCTAAAACAAATCCCAGAATCCAAACACAGCTGAGCTCTGGACAAGAGAGGAGCTGGTCATGAACTCTGTGGATCAGGCCCAACTTTAACAACAACAAATTGTGATGTCATATGTTAAAGATTCTGAATTCAGGCAGGAAATAATACTGGGAACACATGGATGCTTAAAACTGCATTTTTATAGTATTAATGAAAATATGTCTATTGAGAATCAAGGGAAGCAAAACAGAAAATATTATATAATATGTAAGTGGAATGATTCTATTAAACTTGATTTATAGCTCAACATAGGATTTTAAATTCTTCTAGACAAGCATGTATTAGAATAAACAGTAAAGTGAACCCAGTTGAGGCGTCTCATCTGTAGCTTTGATAATGCACAGTTGTGAAATGGGAAAAAATGCACACAAGTACACATGTATGAAACCTCATGAAGGTATCCCACCATAGCCGATTCACAGGATACACATGTATGAAACCTCATGAAGGTACTTGTGTGCATTTTTTCCCATTTCACAACTGTGCATTATCAAAGCTACAGATGAGATGCCTCAACTGGGTTCACTTTACTGTTTATTCTAATTTACTGGCTACTTCACTTTCTTGTGAATTTAGTTACATTTTTGCTTTTGACTGGAATAAGAGGGTTGTAAGAGGGTTTACACATTTAAGACATAGAACAGCTGTAAAAAAGGAATACTTTTAATCAACTGTATGTACTGTTTCCCCCAGATATGCTATTGTTTCTATGAGGTTAAAAGAAAGCTCCATCCATATTACCAGCTGCAAAAATTTTAAAGCAAGAAGAATTTCTCACATTTATAAAAGGAGAACCAATTTAAGAAATAAAGAGGATTTTTTCACAAGATCTTAAGTGTACTTTTCCAAAGTGACTGAAGCACTTAGGAACCTAAATCTCATTAGAAATCAATGGATTTAGGGCCTGAAGTGCCTATATCATTTTTGAAAATGCACACCATACTCCAGTCAGCCTTTGAGATGGAGAGGCTTTCTCAGGGCCATTAGGGGAAAGAAAACACTTGGCTCCTGTAAGGATTGACCCTTTCTTGTTTCCTCCCCTCCCCATGGGCACTCAGCTTCCTTGTGAGCTTGAGAAGAGTAGGAAGGGGGCTCCTTGACTTGCAAGGGTGCAGCATAAGCCTATTGGTTCCCATGCACACAAGCAAAGGGCTTATAAACCCTTCACCCTGCCCAGGGTCCAATTCTGCACCCTGATCAAAATCCGCCCCCCGTACTCACTGTGGGCATCATCCTAGTCACCTTTTTAGCCAGATTGGCCTGGGCAATGTGGGTTTTTTTGTTTTCCTCTCAGCAGCCCAGGAACCAGTCGATAGGTTGCACTGCAAAATTCATGTTGTTGCAACTCAGCAGGTACCCAGTGCAGCTAATTGTTCAATGGAGGGTCCAGTTCCCTGATAAACTGGAATTGGAAGTGGACTACTAGAAGGGTTGTCCTAAAAAAGGTGGGGAATTGAACCAGGACTCCTAATGTCTGGTACAGCAAGGAGACAAACCCACTTATATGAAAAAAGATGGTAAGGTCCCAGCAGTGGTGCTGAGACCATGCTCACAGTGTGGAGGGCTGATGGCAGCCCTCTCCCAGGTGGTATGGGTTACAGAAGGAAGGATGACCTGCACCAAAAGAGCTATTGCTGGATAGTTCCCAGGTGTGTTATTCAGTAAATCTGCAGCCTAGTGTCATTCCTGGTGTCTTGTCTTTCTTCCTGTGCTGTCGAGGACAATGGGAGTTATACTATTTGGACACTTAAGCACTTTTGAAAACTTTACTCTAGGACTCATTTATATTATGTCAAAACTGTGGTAGAGAAACTGATTTAAAAAGTTGTTTAAAATGTGTTCAGGCTAATGCAGTTTAAACAGTTTGCTCTGTATGGAATTATCACAACCATTTAAAAACAATGTTTAATCTCCTGGTAGATGCATGCTTTTAAAAACATGCTTCTAAATAGATTATACCCCTTTATTATGGGCAGGAATGCATTAATTTTACATTATGAGTACATTAATTTTAGTTAAATACAATTTTTTTAATTTGTGCTGCAGACATGGATTTATAGTCTCAGGAAATTAATATTTTAAATCCACTGGAATTGTTTAAGAAATTGAACATATTTAGCTCCCAAAATACTCATCACTTCCCAAGTCTGACAAATGCAAACAAAAATAAAATGCAAAAGAAACCCCAAACCCAACCAAAAAACAACTATGATTGGAAATCTTGCATTAATTCACAGGATCTGGGGAACTGCATATTTAATATGAGTCAGCAATGTGATGCAGTTTCAAAAAAGACTAATATCATTCAGAGACATATTAATAGGAGTGTTATATATAAGACATGAGAGGTAGTTGTCCTGCTCTACTTCACCCTGGTAAGGCCTCACCCAGAGAACGGTGTCCAATTCTGTGTGCCGCACTTTAGCAAAGATATGGATAAATTGGAGAGCATCCAGATGAGAGCAACAAAAATGATAAGAGGTTTAGAAAACCTGACCTATGAGAAAAGGTTAACACAACTGGGCATGTTTAGTTTTCAGAAATGAAGACTGAGAGGGAGGCCTGATAACAATCTTCAAGTATGCTAAGGGCTAGTATAAAAAGTACAGTGATCAGTTGTTCTCTATTTCTACGGAAGGTAGGACTAGACACTCGTCCGTTAGATATTAGGGAAAACTTTCTAACTATAAGGGAGTTGAGCTCCCGAATAGGTTTCCAAGATAAGCTGTGGAATTCCCACCTGTGGAGATTTTTAAGAACAGGTTGGACAAACACCTCTCAGGGATGGTCTGGGTTTACTCGCTCCTGCATAGGGGTTTGGATTAGATGAACTCTCGAGGTCCCTTCCACACCTACATTTCTATGATTCTATAATTGTCCAGAAAATCTGGAAGGGAATACGAAGTTTAGTGGCATGAGTTTTGGATTCCGTGTCAGACTGCTCCTTCTGAGATTACTATATGACTCCTGGCCTTGTGCCAGGGAGTGTAAAGCCAGAAGATTGTGTCCAGTACGGAGAGAGGGAAATGGCAACTTGAGCTCTTTCTGCCTGGCCTTGCACAGTCACGCAGGGTTAGGTGTAACGCCGACAGACCCTGGTCGTCGGCAGGCAAGATTGAATCTGGTGACTCTGGAGCTTAGTGCATGAGCCTCTATCACATGAGCTAAAAGCCAACTGGCTGTTAGCTAAGGCTGTAGAGCAGACTCATTTTCTCTCTCTCTCTCTAAGTGGTCTCGGTGCCTCTAGATGGGACAGAACATCACACCCAGGTGGTGTGGGGGTTACATAGGCATGATCTTTTTACTACCACCCCTGATCTCACCCACACAATCTAGCCTTTTTAAATTAAATATTATTTATTATTATGTTATGGAAGCAATAAAATGAAGAAAAATAATATATGCTTTGAAAACTCCTTGATTATATATTCATAAATGCAATGTCCATAAGGATATTTATTCAGACAAAACTCCCACTAAAATTAATGGTTATGCTTTCATCAAGACTGCAGAACAAAGTCCGTATTCTGTACAAACAGTACATACAAACTGTATCCCTAAACACTTCTTCACTATGCTATCAGTTAACTTAATGGACATTTAGGAAACATTTTCCTTCAAAAATTAACTTTGAACTATATATGAGCAAAAAATGCACCTTTTTTATTCTACATTCTTAAAAAGAATCAAGCAGATTTTGTTTTTCAACATTCTGAAGGAAAACACTGTACCTGTGTTGAGATATCATACACAAAGTTTCCACATCAAGTTGAAGTTATAAACCTCTTCAAACAGACATTTATAAGGGAAATACCTGCAAGCCATTAACTGTACAAAAATTATTAGGGGGTTGGGGCACATGACTTACGAGGAGAGGCTCAGGGAACTTGGCTTATTTGTCTGCAGAAGAGGAGAGTGAGAGGGGGGTTCCAAAGAGGATGGAGCTCATCTGTTCTCAGTGGTAGCAGGTGACTGAACAAGGAGCAATGGTCTCAAGTTGCAGTGGGGGAGGTCTAGGATGGATATTAGAAAAAACTATTTCACTAGGAGGATGGTGAAGCACTGGAATGGGTTACCTAGGGAGGTGGTGGAATCTCCATCCTTAGAGATTTTTAAGGTCTGGCTTGACAAAGTTTTTGCTGGGAGGATTTAGTTGGGGTTGGTCCTGCTTTGAGCAGGGGATTGGACTAGATGAACTCCTGAGGTCTCTTCCAACCCTAATCTTCTATGATTTTATGTAGCAATGTAACTGGTAACACTTAGAAATACTGTGGGCATAGATTTTAATTTCCTTTATGTAATGACTACTGCAATTGTGTAAATGGAAAGAAGCTACATAAATCAGTAGTATTACAACACCCATCTTTACCAATAGTTTTGGTTTTTAATTATTTACTGTAAAATTGTAATAAGGACCAATCAAACCTTTTATATATAATTTTGTGAAAATCATAATGGTCATTGTGTGGTAGAGAAGACTGGAGGGGGTAATACAAATGATCTGGTAGGATTTGGGAAGGATGAAGTAAAGCACATGATACATTTTTCAGTCCCTCTTAAGAGTTAAAATGTACATGTGTAACACATGTGGTTGTAGATATACAATTGTAGCAGATACAAAGGGAGATAAGGAAGGGCCTGATCCAGCAAACACATCATGAGTGTACTACTAAGTGTTTGCAAATCAGGCCCTATAACAAGAAAGAGAAGTACACTGAATGTCAGGTTAAACAAAGCTTTCATTTTCCAGCATCAGAACACAAAAGGTGAGAGAGAGCCCAGGCTCTGCCAAAAGGAGAAATTAATCACAAAGTATCAAAAATTATTTCTCTGCAAAAATTCAAGGAGAAAAAATCTAATTTGAATTTTAATATTAATTTACAATGACTCGATAGTTGCACACACACTTTCATGTTGCATGTGATGTTTTAGACAATGTTAAACTACATGGATACAATATAGACTATTCATCCTTATACTTAAGATTAGGGATTTTTGTGTGTCAGCAAAGCCTTAGTATGCTAGAAGTCATATTTATAGAATATCCACTTTAGTATGCAGTTTACAAAATAATCCCTGAGTAAGAATTGATTGTGGTAAATGAAGAAATATTATTTCTACTGTAGAGATTGGGGAAATATTATTCTCTTCTACTCTAATGTAGGTGCTGGAACTAGGGCTATTGCTGCAACCCTTGGCTTGAAGTGGTTTCCATTGTATACGGGGTTTACAGCTTGGTTCAGTGGCTCTCAGAGCCCCCACTCTACAAACTGTTCCAGCGCCCCTGCTCTCTACTATTTTCGAATGGCTCCTCTTCCCTTTACAAACATGTCTTGGAAGTTACAATTTTTAGAGTCACCACTAGGGGTCATTGTAAGCCAAGCAACTTCAGAAAATTAATGTTTGTAACATGGAAAATGTCCTAAGCAACCGATTAATGGAATTTCAAAACATATTTTGAATTCCAATAATTCCTATCAAGCACCGAAACTAACTGCTAAGTCTGAAGGAGACTAAACTTTTTAAAACCTTGTTTATTTTAGCAAGACTGTCAATTTTCTTTTGCTTATTTTTTACCTTTGCTTACCATTCCTTTTTTAACTGTAGAAGAAATAGTGTTACCTGTTAACATAAAATCCCATGTTTTATTTAAAGCCATAGAAGACAAAAATCAGAGACTATTTTGGTACACAGCACACTACATTAAAATAGCTCCACTGGAAATGCAATTAGAGGCTGTGGAATCTTTTATAAGTATAGTCAGTTATGGCATTAATTATAAGAATACAAATTTCTTAAAAACCTGTTTCCCAAATCTGCTGAATTTCAAAAGTAATCATGCCTTTCCTTAGGAAAGAATTCACCATTGTCTTGCTTTTGGCTTTTACTAGATCTTTTTCCAAAGTAACTGATTACTTTTTAATGACTGTCCAGGAACAACATTAAGGTTAAAAAAAGAAAAAAGAAAACAATCCAAAACAAAACAAAAAATAAAGTAATAAGATGGCAAAAAAGAGTTAATTCTAGAATCCTGACAATATTTCCTTTCATCTCTGAGTTTAGATTTCATCTACTGCCACCAAGGATTTGTTCAGATTTATTCGTAGCACTGATTTATCTACTAAACAATTGCTCATAGAGCGAGAAAATCCCAAATGTCTCCATCCAGGGAAAATGATCAGTAAATGACATCCTGATTTTCTAACCTGTAGAGTGTGTGGCTTGGAAGCCTTTTCTTTGTACTGATGCATCAGAAACAAACCGGAGGAACATTTTATTTCCAGTAGCCACAAGAGGATCTGGTATCTTATTGCCACATAAACGTCCCAGAATTGGTGACTTTTCTGTTTCTCCATCAAACACTTCCAAGTGGTCATAAGCACATTCCTGATGTTGTTCAATCTCAAACTCATTAAAGGTCTGAAAAGAAAGCAAAATAGTGTGTTAAGAAGGACTCCAATACATATTATATCTTATACATAATAAAAATGAACTGTATATAGGTTTCCAGCATGCAGTCTGCTTGCAACTGAGAGCACATGTAATTTTGTTGCGGTTATAAGCTTGGACCTTTGAATGACATACTCACTCTAAGGAAGCAGAGTAATAATAAAGACAATAATTTTAACGTTGGCAGGGCACCGCTTCACATGAAAGGGATTAGGACAATTGTGTCCAATCCATGGCAGAAAAGAGAAAATCTGGAACACCATAGGCATTCTGTTGAATTCATACAATTAGGTCCTAGGATTATTCCAAATTTCACAGAACATCCAAAACCAGCCAGAAAGTAGAAAATCTACTGGTTCCTTTTATAACTGGGGCCCTGCAACATCTGTGAGACCGTTGTGCTTTTATATATGTGCTTCTTCAATGCAGTTTAAACCAATGAAAACGACATTTCCACATGGCCTTTTGTAAGTAAAACATATACAGCATGGTCCTTTGAAAATTATGCCATATAAATCAATTTTTATAACTACAATATTGGTTATATTTAAGGCTTCACTCAGCAAATTAAAATCATCTTTCTCCAGGAAATCAGTCTAAGAAAGCTGCAAAAATGGTTTTTGAGTGAATTTGTAAATAAACCCCAACATAACTCACTTTTACTTGTCACCAACTCTCAAAGAAAGAGGAACATTGCTGCAGTTATCTTAAAGTTCACAAATATTACTTACTTTCAGGTCTGTTGTATATTTCTTCTCCACACAGCAACATTTATTTTAGTGTTTATCTGAGCTCCTAGAGACTCACAACTCTCCCCAATGCCCTGGAGAGTGGAGTACAGTTGTCCAAGATTTTAAAAAGTGACTAGTGATTTTCTGTCCCTCAATTTTAGGGTATCCAGCTGAAGATACTTTGAAGGTGTCTGATTCGCCGAGTCTGGCCCCTACTCTCTGAAAATCAGGCCCTTTAAACTGGCTGAAGATGTGGGCACCTGAAAATTGAGGGACCCAAAAATCACAAGTCACTTTTTACAATCTTAAACGTATTTGTCCACAGAACAGGTAGCTCAAAGGCAGTGGGAGTTTCTGAACCATATCATCAGAACCTAATAATAAGGGACCACTTCCAGGAGCAAGGAATAGTTCAGTCTCCAGATCCTTCTGGTCTTCTCCACTGAGACTGCCACCTAGTGTTCCAACTCATGACAAGTGTGCTATGTATGTGATATATGGATGCTTCTCTATTCAGGACTGGACTGAGATCACCAAGCTTATTACAAATGGGACATCAAAAAGCCATGAGATATAACTTCTGGTCACTACTGACCTGTACTAGATTTGAACGAGAACCCTAAGGATGAAAGGTCATAGAGAACTATGTATAAGCATTGAGAGGCTGAAATACTTCTCTGAACATTTTCATTTTAATTAACCTTTAAATTGAAAGCTCATTCAGTTCAGTGGAATTTATTTATTATTATTATTAATAATTAGCAATCTTATGGTTCTCAAACTATGTTTTATTAATACAATAAAATATCACAAAAGCACTCTAGGAATTAATGCTCCTAATTGTACTCAGTGTATTTCCAGCAAAGTAAGCTAAAAGATTCAGAAGCAATATTTAAAAGGAATAAAAGCAAACAGTCTAACTCTGAGCACACATAATAACTGAGCATTCTGTCTGGTACACCAAAGCAAGTCTAATCTACTGAATCCCTGATGGAAGTCAGCCAATATAAAATGTGATGGCACTTTATATTACCAGCTGTCCTAAAGGAATTGCATATAGCTGAAGCACTGATGTTTTGGCAAATGAGAAAGAATACTCAGAATATCAGTTTTAGTTCACAAAGAACTGAAGAGTGAAAAGATAGTACTGGATGGACACAGATTCATTTTATAGGAAAAGTTGACATTTATATGAGCAGAAGGAAATCACAGATGTAATAAAAACAGATGTGCAGCAATCCCCGTTGCCACTCTAAAATTTCAATCAACCATCCTATCTTCATACGGCCAGGTATGTGTTGTCATTGGACGCCTAATAATATTTGATTAATTAAAAAAAAAACCCACACACTGAGAGGCTGTAAGAGCTGGTTAAATATACAATTGAGTGAATCCAATGTGAATATCAATGGGAATTCTATATGTGCTCTAACAGTAGTCTATAGTTCTGAGTTTGATTTTTTTTGTTTTGTTTTGTTTTTAAAAGGAAAATCACACTGTATTTTATTCAGTTGTGCAATCTGAAAGGTCAGTTGTTCAGAGCACTTCTTACAATCAATAACCTGTGAAATTTATTATTTTAAATGTTTGAATTACAATTAGAGTTTATGAGCCTAATGCACAGAAGCTATTTTCCTTAAAAGATATGTTATTTTGACATACAATATAAAGTCAGTGTCCTACGCAAAGAGAATGCAAAGAGTTTCAAACCTGTTTTAATAATCATTAAACAATCATAAACAGAACTAGAGGATTTAAGAAAAAGCAAATATTATATATTAAACTATTTCAAACATTAAAACAGTTTGAAAGAAATATTAAACAAAGAAATTGGCTTAAAGTTTTATCCATAGCATCCCCACATTTCCAGGGACACAAAGAATTTGCTTTTCAGCCGCCTTTATTATTATTAAGCTCGGTAATAAAATTTTGAAATAAAAAAACTTTAAATACTCTTCGCATAATTTAAATCAAGATGAATAAAGATTAACGAGCATGTGGACAAGGGGGATCCAGTGGATATAGTGTACTTAGATTTTCAGAAAGTCTTTGACAATGTCCTTCATCGAAGGCTCTTAAGCAAAGTAAGCTGTCATGGGATAAGAGAGAAGGTCCTCTCGTGGATTGTTAACTAGTTAATCGATAGGAAACAAAGGGTAGGAATAAATGGTCAGTTTTTAGAATGGAGAGAAGTAAATGTTGCGTCCCCCAGGGGTCTGTACTGGGACCAGTTCTAGTCAACATATTAATAAATGATCTGGAAAATGGGGTAAACAGTGAGGTGGCAAAAACTGCAGATAATACAAAACTAATCAAGATAGTTAGGTCCCAGGCAGACTGCGAAGAGCTATAAAAGGATCTCTCAAAACTGGGTGACTGGGCAACAAAATGCCCAATGAAATTCAATGTTGATAAATGCAAAGTAATGCACACTGGAAAACATAATCCCAACTATACATATAAAATGATGGGGTCTAAATTAGCTGTTACCACTCAAGAAAGAGATCTTGGAGTCATTGTGGATAGTTCTCTGAAAACATCCACTCAATGTGCAGTGGCAGTCAAAAAATATATAGATAATTCCAAAGATATATTGGAATTGGAAAAAGTTCAGAAAAGGGCAACAAAAATGATTAGGGGTATGGAATGGCTTCCATATGAGGAGAGATTAATAAAACTGGGACTTTTCAGCTTGGAAAAGAGATGACTAAGGGGAGATATGATAGAGGTCTATAAAATCATGACTGGTGTTGAGAAAATAGATGAGGAAGTGTTATTTACTCCTTCTCATAACACAAGAAATAGGGGTCACCAAATGAAATTAATAGGAAGCAGGTTTAAAGCAAACGAAAGGAAGTATTTCTTCACACAACGCACAGTCAACCTCTGGAACTCTTTGCCACAGGATGTTGTGAAGGCTAAGACTTTAACAGGGTTCAAAAAAGAACTAGATAAATTCATGGAGGATAGGTCCATCAATGGCTATTAGTCAGGATGAACAGGGATGGTGACCCTAGCCTCTGTTTGCCAGAAGCTGGGAATGAGCGACAGGGAATGGATCACTTGATGATTATGTGTTCCGTTCATTCCCTCTGGGGCATCTGGCATTGGCCCCTGTTGAAAGACAGGATACCAGACTAGACGGGCCTTTGGTCTGACCCAGAATGGTCGTTCTTATGAACTTGGGAACTTTTAGGACAATAGGCTGAGCAAAATTATTGCAGTTTTCTTTAACTCATTCTTTTTTCTATGTTATCTAGATTCATTTCCATGCATTTGTTCAAAAATAATTTTATATATGTTCCTCAAATTAAGCTTCACTTAAACTAACTTCCAAAATTGAAGTGTCAAATGAGCTTTTAAACTCTCTCTCTCTCTCTCTCTCTGTGCTGTATGTAGACAGTTTCAAAAGCTATTTTTTTTCATCTGGATATCTAAAGTTTAAAAATTACACAGTGCATGTCCATTGTTTCCTGGAGACCTTGATTACACAGAATGCTTCATTTTACTGTTACCCGGGAAAGACTCTGCAATGATTTATCAAAACTAAGAGCACTCACAGAAGAAGATTAGGTACACGGAACTTCAAAAATAACGCACAGCTTCAGGACTCACTTGGTTCATTTGGTGTGCAGAAGCTTATCTTTTCTGTTCATTGGGCACAGGAAAAGTAGGAATGAACTTGAACTTAGTTTGGAAACAAAATAGGAAATATTTATAAAATGGAAGTGCTGCATTAGTTTTATTGGTATATGGGTCAAATACAAAATAAGTGATAAGCAGCTAACAAGATTGTGAATAAAATAATGTAATGTGTTATCTTTCCATACAAACATTTAGCACAGTTGAGAAATTCTAGTTGTGAAATGTTTTGCTAATGAGTGTTATACTTGTCCACTATACTAGATGGTGAGATTTTCAAAAGAGCTTAAGGGAGTTAGGTGCTCAGCTCTCATTAACTTCCAGTGGTTGCTGAACACGTCATTAGGTAAATAAAGAAGCCAGTTTTGTTTGATTAACAGAGTTTCACTATTCAGATCAGAAAGGATGATAACCCTTTAGCTCTCTGATTTTTTTTCAAGGATGGAGGACAATATGAGTCAACAGTGTGCCCTTGTTGCCAAGAAGGCTAACGGCATTTTGGGCTGTATAAGTAGGCTCATTGCCAGCAGATCGAGGGACATGATCATTCCCCTCTATTCGGCATTGGTGAGGACTCATCTGGAGTACTGTGTCCAGTTTTGGGCCCCACACTACAAGGAGGATGTGGAAAAATTGGAAAGAGTCCAGCGGAGGGCAACAAAAATGATCATTTGGCTGGAGCACATGACTTATGAGGAGAGGCTGAGGGAACTGGGATAATTTAGTCTGCAGAAGAGAAGAATGAGGGAGGATTTGATAGCTGCTTTCAACTACCTTAAAGGGGGTTCCAAAGAGGATGGATCTAGACTGTTCTCAGTGGTACCAGATGATAGAACAAGGAGTAATGGTCTCAAGTTGCAGTGGGGGAGGTTTAGGTTGGATAGTAGGAAAAAAATTTTCACTGGGAGGGTGGTGAAGCACTGGAATGGCTTACCTAGGGAGGTGGTGGAATCTCCCTCCTTAGAGGTTTTTAAGGTCAGGCTTGACAAAGCCCTGGCTGGGATGATTTAGTTGGGAATTGGTCCTGCTTTGAACAGGGGGTTGGACTAGATGACTTCCTGAGGTCCCTTCCAACCCTGATATTCTATGATTCTATGATTTTTGAAAACACTTAAATAACTTAGGGGCCTAAACCCCATTTTCAAAAGTGATTTAGATGCTTAGGACCAGATTTTCAATAGTATTTAGGCACCGAAAGATGCAGGTAGTGCAGCCTAGTGGGATTCTCAAAAGCTCGTAGGCAGGTTAGGCACATAACTCTCATTGACATTCAACTCTCACTTCCACTGACTTTCACTTTTGAAACTGGGCCTCTGGGGTGCTTTTGAAAATGTTTACCCAGATTCTATTTCAAATGAAAAAGGAACAGTTGATAAAGATTTAAGAATGGTTTCTTCTGGAAGAGAGAAAACTAAAATTCAGCAAGGAAATCCAAATGCATGAGCTTTCCTGCTGAGTTTACAGGCACTCAAAGTGCTTTTATAAAAATCTGTCCATGCCTCTGGCTAGATAAGATATACACAAAATAAAAGTTGTTCATATGGGAGAAGTTCACTTGTTGGGAATGAGCCAGCACAGGCCCACCCTCCCTCTCCACTCTACTTGAACACTCACTGAACCCAGTGAATGGGCAGAGCATTCGTCCCCTCTTTGCATGTAGGGTTTAAGCATTTACAGCCAGATCCACAAAGGGACAGGCATTGCTATGCTCAGTTAGGAGCATACCCAAAGGCCGAAATTTAGGCTTTTAGTGTAGAGTGATTATGTTAGTGTTGCCTTAGTATGTTTTGCAAGTTCTATTTTCACACCGCCCTGTCTCTGAAAAAAGTGTTTCCTACTGTTACGGTACATTTTCGTCCCCTGTTTGACCAAGACTGTTTAAGAGAAAACTACTGCATTGCATTTTAGGTGAGATCCTTACTCCTGCTCGGGCTTCTTTATGCCAGGGGAAAGGGTTGGAGCAGCATAAAGAGGACCTAAGAGTTCAGTAACCGACTAGGGGACAATTCTTCTGGCACTAACACTGCAGAAGATGGCTATAAGGCTGCATCCTGAGTACCGTTCCACAAGCCTTAAATATAGGGGACATGCCGAAGGTTGGAAGGGCATGTTTGGGGTGCGGACACAGCATGCAGAGCTGATGAGATGCTGGGCAGTGCCAGGGATGGCTCCAGGCACCAGCTTAATAAGCAGGTGCTTGGGGCGGTCGAGGGAGAGGGGCGGCACCTGCGGCAGGTCCCTCACTCCCTCTAGGAGCGAAGGACCTGCCGCTGAACTGCCGCCGCCGATCGTGGTTCTTTTTTTTTTTTTTTTTTGCGGCAGAAATGCTGGAGCCGGCCCTGGGCATTGCGATTCCCAGAGGGCAGTCCAGGGAATCTGCCATAACTTAAACAGGCCTCAGGGCTGTTTCACCAGGGTCCTCTCCAGCGCCTGGAACAGCTCAGGGTCAGCAGGGCACAAAGTTGGCTTAGGCTACGTCTACATTGGACTCTGAGGTATGACTGCAGCACAGGTAGACAAACCCACTCTAGTTCAACCTGCACTAGACCAGCTAAAAATGGCAGTGTAGACACAAGGGCATGGGCTTCAGCACAGACTAGCAGCATGAGTATGTGCCCAAGGGATATGTACCCATGTGCTTATATAGCCCACAATGAAGCAAGTGAAGACATGGCAGCACAGTTATTTTTAGCCATTCTAGAATGGGGTAATGCTAGCATGTCTATGTCTATCTGAGCTGCAATCAGACCTCAAATTGCAGTGAAGACACACCCTTAAGAGCATCCCACCTCTCAAGCTCAGTGCTGTACCACAATAATGAGGTGAAATCTAAAAAAAGCTGAGAATCCAAGTGCAGAAATCTTGTACAGTGAATCTGGAATGTCCATGTGAATTATGTACATGAAAGTGTCCCAAGCCTCTGAATCAATTATATATAATCAGACAAAAATAATACTCCAAACCAATATCTGAGATTAAAAAAATCAGACCTTTTGAATTTTCATCTAAGTATTATGGAACACTCACTGAACACTCTTAAAATAATTCTTCACTGAGGGTTAAATTTCATATTAATCTTTGTTTTAAAATGTTGATATCTTCATAACACATGTTAGTAAATATTCATTGTTTTAAAAATAATGGGTTTTATTTTAAAAGTTAGTGGATTCTTACTAACTAGTGTAATATAAAGAACATACTTTTTGACTGCCAATTGATCAGTGAACATAGATCAATATTATTTTCATATAGTGGACTGTGAAAGTAGCTGGACAGCTCAGGAGGAAATTTGGTTAAAAAACAACAACACTTAAATAACTTACTAATTTGACTCTGTGACCAGGAGTGGCACTGATTTCCCATGTGCATTCCTTCCTACTTGGGTATTTGTCTGGCCAGTTAGGACTTGTGATGACTCCAGTCGGACTATGGATCTTCTGTTCACACTCAGCTGTGCCAATAATGATAGCATCAGTTAGTTTGGAAATCTGTGTTAAAGATGTAGTCAGAAAAGCAGACTTTTTATCAACTGATTCATTGAAAGGAAAGGATTTTCAGGAAGCTAGCTAATCACCTCTTCAGTATCCAGTATCATGTTCATCACCTTTGGCAAATACATCATGGAGATTAATCTAGGACTGCTTGTTTACTGATTGACCATTACATTTACAGTGTTGTTTACAATGGATCACATAAACCTTCTATAAACAAACTATATATATGAATGATATATCTAAACCATTTATCTAAATGAAGTCAATATTTTGCCATTCCCACTACTAAGCCTTCCTCACAAATAAAATTAAGTAGAAAAACCCAGAATGGAATTCCTTCCTGAAAATTTCATATTTTGCTTTTCTGCCCTCCCACTAAAGCAGGCATTAAAGGTACTGAACCTTGATTTTGGTTGGGAAACCATGATTAATAGAGAGAGAGAGAGAGATACTGTTGTTGGCAAAAGACTGCGAATGAATCATGAATATCTACTGAGAAATGTCTGACTATACAAGGTCTTCTTTGTCCTAATCAAATTAGTAGAAGTCCCTCTCATTAAATAAATACTAACATTTAAATTTAAATAAAGTGAGGATAAAATGATAAAACTACTTCACCTTCTTAAGTACTTTCCCTTCAAGAATCTCAAAAGACTTTATATACATTAGAGAATTAAGCCTCACAACACACTCTGAAGGAAGGTAAGGGCTTGTCTAAACGGCACCACAGTTCAGACCAGAGGGATGTGATTTGTAGAGTGCTCTCACTGCCCCATGTAGACCCTGCTGGTTTGCATTAAAAGGTACCTCCCTTTTCTACATAATGATAACTTTCTACAGAGATGAAGATAACTTTCTAAAAGATAGCCGGGTCGTCTCTACTATCTGCTGTTCAAATGCCCTAATCCTTACCTTCCTTGCAGTCATGTTTATTTTCATGTAGCACAAATCCATTGCGGCACTGACAGACATAGCTTCCTATAGTGTTGATGCATTCATGCTGGCAGCCACCGTTGTCCTTAGAACACTCATCCTTGTCTAAGGGATACACAACATGGTTCTGTGAGCATCACATCTATAGCTTGTAGAATGTAGATAACATTTTTATATGAATGTTTAAGTCCAGAAAAGGGTAAACTAAGGCACAGACCTTATTCTTCTCAGCATGGCAATTTAATTGTACCTTAGTTCTACCCATTCATTGTTCAGCCTGCAACCTTGCACTATGGCACTATTATTTTAGTAAATTCCTATGGAAAGTGAGGTCTATTTCTCAAGAGACAGAACAAAGTAGTTTCAAGAAAATAAAAGATATAGAACAAATGGCTAATATTACTTTTTTAGCTAGTTTTATTGATATAGATTTTATAAAGTATCTCTTCAGTGGCCATAGTTCCATGCACAACAAGGAGTTTTACTATCTGGACAAACACATAAGGTATTTCCACCTCACACCAATTCTACAATGTATTTAAATTGGATGTTCAGGCCAAACAAGGTTTCAAGCTCTGCACATGTTGATATTAAAAATAAGTTATTCATCATAAACATTATTAATTAGTTATTTTGTTCAAGCAGAGTGAAAAATGTGCTTTGATTTTAATGAATCTGGACATTACAAAACATCTCAAAAGGGAAAATACATTGTTAAAAAACACAGAAAAGAAACCGATGTTAATTGTTTCAGGGAGATCTGCCATATAGCATGCAGTCCTGTTTATTAACAAGTAATCCTCTCTAAAAAAGCTTTTAGCGTGTTAGAAATCAACCAGACGGTAGGGGAGAAAATATGAGCTACATTACACAGCCACCAAATTCACTGCAGGGAAAAAAGCCAAACTAGATTAACAGGCAATCATTACAGCAGAAGGCATCAGCTGCCACCATTCTGTGTCATTTGGCTGTTGTCATTTTAGGTGGGGCTGGTCCATTAAATCAAAACTGGCAGACTGTTCCTGACATACATATATAATGCCATATCACACCGACCTCTGTCGTTTCAACATGCAAAAAAAATGTGAACAAATTATGGTCATATCAGAAGTCAGACTGTTTCAGAATTGGGATACAGAGCATGCATCTCATTTGCCCTCAGATTTCTTAAGACATACGAAAGGGAGTGTTATTTCTTAACAAAATTAATATGCAATATTTCAGACTGTGTTTGGCTCAGTAGGAATTTCTACAGAAACACAAGCTGTCTTGTATAATTTAAGCTTCTTGTTACTGTTTTACTCATATTGTATTACTTCTCCCTACCTTTGTTGAAGCATATGTATAGTAATACAGCAAAAGGAATCTTTATTGTCTAAGTACTTACACAATACCTGAGTTTTACCTGCCAAAATGTACATGAAGCTTGACTTGTTGACTTGCAAGCCCTTCAGTAAATCTATTTGTATTTACAATACATTGCTGTACAGCAACATGATGATGATATATATTCATAGGAAAATCCTGCAAGTCAAAACCAAGTTTCTACTGCAATTTCATTTGTACTATAAATCTCAAATCTGTTTGCATTGAGAGTGCTTGGGAGCTTCCTGCAGATCTGAACAGATTTGAATGTGGAGGAACAGTTTTTTAAAAGTAAATACACTTCACAGAAGCGGTTTATATTTGTGATCATTTAGAAAAACATAAAAACTCAGAAGGATACTTCTTGCAAATTTTCTAATAGGAACACAAAGTCAACATCATGCATTATTTGATTTCAAGCAAAAGTTTTAATCTCTCATCTTTGCAAAAGCAAGCACTAGCACATACTCCCTGTTGCAAGCTTAGAAGGGTGACAAGCAAATAAGAAATTAGTATGCAACTAACAATAACAGAAACTTGTAAGCATTTCCTCTCCTATATATTAGTATCTACTTTCTATTTACCTAGTGAAAAGAATGGAAGGTAAGATCAAATGCTTTCATCAAAGGTAACAAACAAGGACATTCCAGTCAAGTTTTGTAATAAATAAAGTAAAGGCCCTTTCCAGTTCCCCATCTGCCAAATTGTCTGAAACAGAAAAGTCTACTCTCACATTAAATAAATGTGTATTATTCTGAAGAATAATCTCAAAAGGGACATGTGCATAAAGAAATGGGCCTATGATGGATCCCTTCAAAGATCAGCTCTGTGCAAAACAATAATCAAAAGGTAGAAGAGATCAGCTTAGTGACACTAGGATGGAAATAATTAATTGCACACTTAATGAAGGATGCAATTGTTGAACAAACCTTATAGATGTTGAATAAATCAGTATGGATTTTTCCATCATATTTGTAGCTCAGTTTCAAAATTAGTCTGTATTAGTTATAGAAACAAATGTTTTGCTGAGTAAAAACAAAATCATTTGTTGTGCTGACAGATGGAAATCAGTCTCCCAATTTTGAATGGATGCTTTCTTCCTTTTTGTGTGTTTGTTTCAATACTCAGTATAGGGAAAGATCCATTCTCAACAAAATGTTAGATTTTAACAATTTAGAGGACATGTGGTCGTACCTCTGAGACCCCCAGAGGCCACCAGTCTGTGAATAATACGTACTCGGCCTGAGGGGGCAACCTGTATCAAGTCCTTGCATGATTCAAAAACAAAAATTTTCTCTTTGCAGGCAGTTTTCTTGTCTGTGGAAATAAATGTACCAGGATAGTGCCAGAGGTGAGTGTGTGCTCCAACATGAATCTGCTCAAGGGTAGAAACATTTAAGCTTTTCTTTTTTAACTGCTCACTGAATCATAACCCACCAAAAAACAAAACAAAAAGACCCCAGTAAAATTAATTCTTATCATGCATCAGACACAGTGACTGTTTTAAATGAGCATGCATAACATCATATTTATTCAAAACCACAAAAATAACTCTAGAGCACATGATAAATGGAAGCAGTTTAACAACAGGTTGCTACCAGTGATTAATCATACTATTGTTTAAGAGCCTTATTCAAAGAAATGATTATAGCTGCTCCCATGACCATCACCTTTCCTACACAGAAAATCAAACATTGTTTTTTTTTCTGAAGCAAGGCCATGTTGAATGATTCAGCAGCCTACTTTTCCTTGTGTGCGCACAGCAAAAACCTTGCAATAGGTTGCCCAGTTATCCACATGAAGGGCACAAAACTTGTAATAGGAAGTTTTATGCTTTGAAACTTAATATTTAATTTAAAAAATATTGACAACTATTTACAAAAAATATCAGTTACCTGCAGCCCCAAGATGGTTTTAAATTATCCCTTCCCCCTCCTCAAGACACTAGATTACATCTATACAACAGCTGTTCTGCTACTTATAGAAAATCACCCTGAAACATCCCTCAAGTCACAGCACATGAATACACTCACACATAAGCATTCTTGGCTAAATATGTGCGTTCTGGAACACTATGAAAATTTGGGTGCTGACTGGCTAGTGAAGAGATAGGAATTTATTATTAGAAAAAATGGGTGTGTGAATGGAATTCAGTTGTTGACTCAGTCTCTCTGATCCTCTAAAATGTATACTTTTCTATGACCATGTTAAACTTGGTGCATAAACCTTTGTTTTCAGAACTCTCCACTCACATTTTGTTATGCATCTACAAACACCTATTAACCATGGCAACCATGCAAGATTATCCTTTTATCTTGTGTTTCTGAGATTCCCAGACTCCAAAGCCAGAAAGGACCATTGTGATCATATAGTCTGGCCCCCTTACATGACACAGGACAAAGAACTTCCCCAAATAATTCCTAGAGAATATAGTTTAGAAAAACATCCAATTTTAATTTAAAAATTGTCAGTGATGGAGATTCCACTAAGATCCTTGGTAAATTGTTTCAATGGTAAATTATTCTCACTGCTAAAAATTTACACTTTATTTCCAGTCTGAATTTGGGTAGCTTCAACTTCCAGCCATTGGATCATTCTGTACCCTTCTGTGCTAGATTGAAGAGCCAATTATTAAATATTTGTTCCCCATTTAGATACTTATAGACTGTAATCAAGTCACCCTTTAACGTTCTCTTTTTTGTTAAGCTAAATAGATTGATCTCTTTGATTCTGTCACTATAAGGTATGTTTTCTAATCCTTTCATCATTCATGTAGCTCTTCTCTTAACCCTCTCCAATTTATCAGCATCCTTCTTGCATTGTTGGCACCAGAAATGGAAGCACTATTCCTGCAGCAGTCGCAACAGTGCCAAATATAGGGGTAAAATAAATTCTCTACCCCTAAGAGTTCCTGTTTATGTATCCTAGGATTGCATTACCTCTTTTGGCCACAGCGTGACACTGGGAGCTCATGTTCAGCTGATTATCCATCATGACCTCCAAATCTTTTTCAGAGTCACTGCTTCACAGGATAGAGCCCTCCCATCCTACATTCTTTGTTCCTAGATGTCTACACTTACATTTAGCCATAATCAAAGACTTGTTTGCTTGAGCCCAATTTACCAAGCAATTTGGATTGCTCTGAATCAGTGACCTGTCCTCTTATTTATTTACCACTTCCCCAATTTTTATTCTATATTTATTCGTTCCATTCTATATGCATCCGAAGAAGTGGGCTGTAGTCCATGAAAGCTTATGCTCTAATAAATGTGTTAGTCTCTAAGGTGCCACAAGTACTCCTGTTCTTCTTTTTGCGGATACAGACTAACACGGCTGCTACTCTGAAACCAATTTTTATGTCAGCTGCAAACTTTATCAGTGATGGTTTTATATTTTCTTCCAAGTTACTGATACAAATGTTAAATAGCATATGGCCAAGAACCAATCCCTCTGGGATCCACTGGAAACATATCCACTCAATGATAATTTCCCGTTTACAGTTATATTTTGTGACCTATCAGCCAGTTTTTAATCCATTTAATCTGTGCCATATTAATTTTATATTGTTTTAGTTTTTAAAATCAAAATGTCATGTGGTACCAAGTCAAATGCCTTAGAAAAATCTATATATATTATGTCAACATTATTACCTTTATCAGACAAACTGATAATCTCATTAAAAAAAAAGCTATCAAGTCAGGTTGACAGGATTGATTTTCCATAAACCCATGTTGATTTGCATTAATTACATTACCTTTCCTTAATTCTTCATTAATTGAGTCCCAAATTAGCCACTCCATTATCTTACCCACGACTGATGTCAGGTTGGCATGCCTATAGTTACCCATCATCCCATTTACCCTTTTTTAAAATTGGCAGTTGAGACCTGACTGTAAGATGCTGAAAGGCCTGTATGGCACAATTGATTATGCATGGGTTTTTGGGTCAGTATCAGCTTAGCAAGAATTGTTTGTGGGATGGGATTGTCATAATTTTGTCCACCAAATTTGACTACATGAGATGTCTTATACAGAAACAGGTGATTTGTTTCTTGGCAATTCATAGGAACATCCTATTGGATCAGACTAATAGGCCGTGTCATCCTGTATTCTGTCTCCAACACTGGCCAGGATCAGCTGCTAAAGAGGAAGGTACAACAAAACCCCACAGTAGTCAGTTGCGGGATAAATTGCCCCCAAGGAAATTTCCCTACAAAGGTCCAATAGTTAGAAATGGGTTTATACCTTAAATAGTGAGTGTTTATATCCCTTCCAAAACTTTTTCAAAAATATATTTACTAGTCTAACTCTAGATAACTCCACATAAATGTCTAAGTTTTTTTTAACCCTGCTCAGCTTTCAGCTATATCAGTTAATATGCTATGGCAATGAGTTCCATCATCTAATTACGCATTCTGCAAACAAGTATTTTTTTATTTGGTTTGAATTTGCCATCTTTCAAATTCATTGAATGTCCCCTTGTTCTTGCATTTTAAAAATGGAATACAAGCTCCTGATCTACTTTCCCCAATTCGTTATTATGTGGTCTCTTTATCATGTTCCTTCTCATTCATCTCCTCTCTAAGGTAATCTGTCCCAATCTTTTCAGTCCTAGAAGGGGTTGTGCAGTGTTACTTTTCCACTTTGCTCATTCCTGGAGGGGAAAAACTCAAAGAAGGTGGCTGTGGATACCTACACATCTTCCCCTAAGCATTCCATTAGATCCCATATACTTGTGAAGTGCTTGGAGAGAACAAACAGAATGGTGGTATCACTGGAATGCTTATGATAGAAAAGAAGGCATAATGCTGTGTATCTGCCCATGTGTTCAGCTAAGACTGTTGAAACCATTCCAGGAACGACTGAGGTGATGTTCCTGGGTAAGACTAAGTGTTCTGCAGAACTTATTGGCAGTATGCACATGCCTTTTATTCTGACAGTATGATTACTACCTGTCAGACAGATACAAAAGTAAGAGTGTGTGTGTGTGTGTGTGTGTGTAGGGTCACACTTGAATATATTTCATGGAGCTCAGTGTTTCCAGCTTGTATGGAAAGTTTCCTCAGACATAAACCTACCCCAGTCATACTAGACTTTGTCAACTCTCAGGTAGACTACTGTAATATGCTTCTAATTGGACTTCCTTCAAATTTGTTCCATTGACTGGAAATGTTACAGAATATAGTTGCTTGTTTGTTCCTTCAGGTAGCACCTGGGAGTCTGTTACACTCAAATTCTAGCCAAAGGACATAATTAAAGTTGTAATATTAGAATATAAAATCCTTCACAATTTAGGTTGTCTTTTGCCCTGTACTCAACAGTTACAATCTGTTGGGGTGGGGTCCACTCACAGAATTTAGGCTCAGCCAGTAATGAGCTAGAAGGTAGGCAAGGTTTTCATGGCTGAGGACTCATAGTTGTGGAATTCCCTCACAAAGGAGTCCCAAAATAATCCCTTGGATGTATGTAAGAATGTTGTACAGGATGGTGCCCTTTTCTTTTTTAAATGTCTTGGCTCTCTCCCTCATTTTGTTAATCTACTATCCTCTTGTTGAGCATTGCATGTACCTATTGCTGGTGGGTGGATTGCCAGACAGATATTGGGTTTGCCCTTTTGCTAGATTTTTTTGATGATGTCTGGCTATATAATTAGAATTGTGAAGTTTTAAAGAGGTTGTATTGATTCTATTATGATTTTAGTGCAATGCTTAAAGGCCTTCCAACACAACTTTTAAACTGAAAAATAATAATAAATACATGCCTAAATTTTCTAATCCATACATTGTTTAATTGTAAACTTTGCTAAAGATAGTCTTGTATTTTTCATAAGGCATAATTAAATGAGGAATTAAAGAAGAACATAGGGTCAGGACAAATGATGATCTAATGTCAACTTTCAGAAGTCAAAATATATGTGCTGAAGATTTCAATACATATAGTGCCCTCAATGCCTGGATCAAGAGCACATGTTGTCTATAATGATGAAAGGGTGACTAACTGCCAGTGCGCTGATAAAGAAAAAACAAGCTTCTTTTATGTACTTTCAAACTCATTTGAACATCTTGGATTCAAAAGTTTGACTTAGACTAAAATATTATGAGGTGGGTGTTCTGTGATAAAAGGAACAAAAGCCAGTCATATAGAAGAAAACAACTAAATGAAAAAGGATGGTGCGAATGGAACCGAGTGGGAAACAGGGTGAAAAGTAAATACAGACAGACTGTGAAAAATGAGCAGAGAGCAGAATGGAAAAGAATTCTAATGAAAAATAAATGCACAGTATTCAGTGAATATGGAATACCCATGTGTGCCATCCAGTTCTTTTGAAGGATCAGAGAGAGAGAGAGAGAGAGAGAGTTTTTTCTATCCCCACTACGCAAAACAGGTTTCCCTTTAACCAGAAAAACATTTTGGTTCAGGTTCATCGCTAGTATAAGTTCCCTGACTTTAGTGAATTTAATCCAGAGATAAATTTAGCCCTTTAAAAAAAAAAGTGAGTTTAAATTACCAGGAAAAAATGGTTTGTGAACTAAATTAGTTTTCAAAACAGAGACCAAAGAAAAATAAATAAATAAATTGTCACAGAATTTGACAAGCCCATCCTTTGAACCCCATGAACAACAACCCTCCCCAACACACACAGTTGTTCTGAGTGCTTTTTAGTACAAACCTTGACTACTAATAGAGTTAACATGCATCCGAAGAAGTGGGCTGTAGTCCACGAAAGCTTATGCTCTAATAAATTTGTTAGTCTCTAAAGTGCCACAAGTACTCCTGTTCTTCTTTTTGCGGATACAGACTAACACGGCTGCTACTCTGAAACCATTCTTTAAACAATTCATCTACACTTAAAAATGTAGAAAAAGAGATTGCTTGTTAAACAGAATCTATATTCAATATGTTCATTATCCATAACTTCTGGGCTACAGCTAATAAGCAGATTACAGTGAATACCAGGGCTACTTTTGCTATACTGCACCTCTATAAAGGTATCAAAATAATAGGGTTTAACTCAGAAATATGTATACTGAATACTACCAGTGATCTGAAAATGTAGGACTAGATCATGCTAGCCACTAGCCCTTGTTTACAGGATAATATACACTGCCTTTAATGGGTAACCCTTAAGCATGTAAATAAAGACTATTCACTCAACGGTTTGCACGATGGGCCTCATAAGTTTCATGTGCATAGATATTTAGGTACAAATACATAGTTAACCTTTACAGCTTTATGACAATCTAAACTGGCATTTTACAAAGAAAAGTAACCTTCTGTGACCTTAAAAATGTCATTTACATAAACCAGAAACTGATCTCAATGTGTCTGCAGAAATGTGATTATCAGCAAATAAAGTATGTTTAAAGCTTTCAGGAGGTAAAACACTTGTTAATATCTTTGTGTGATGTATGGGAAATATCATTTACTTTGCTCTTTCCTCACTGCTAGAATAAACCATCTGAGAAGGCATAAAAGAAAACATCAGACTTCCTTTCGGGGCTGCTAAACTTTAAACTTCTTGTCTACGTACATTACAGCTTCTGACAGATATTTTTCCCACTTTGTAAAAGATCTAAGCAACATCACTTACATAATATGCTGAACCATACTGTTTAACTTTCCTACAAAATGTATCATGCATTCCTCAGTTACTGAAACTATCCAGACAGAAACTGCGTTTACTTAGGCTTTTACAATATAACATTTAACCAAAAGCACAATAATAAAATAAGCTAATAAAATATTTTCTACATACTAAACTTAAGTATATTTCTAGCTCTGAAGAACTTGAATTTCTTATCAGAAAATGAGAGGGTAAAATTCAACTCCTAGATGCAGTAACTGATATTTTTAATTACACAAGAAGAATTCCAGTACTATTAACAGAATGTATCCTGTCACATGGAAACATGGTTATAACAGAGTCCTAAGTGGGTGATTACTATGGCTGTGCTCTTCAAACATTTGCATACAGGCTTTATTCATATGAATAGTCCCATTAAAGTCAATGATGCACCCATGCACTTAAAGATACGCATGTTCCTAGATGTTTTCAGAATCAGGACTGGTTCTTCCATAAACCTTTAAAACGTTCAAAATCAGGCAAGAAAGATTCTACAGTATTTAACAAATACCTAGCAAGAGACAAGTCATAAATAATGCAATTTAATAAGAAAAAGAGATAACGAAAGCAAAATACAAATGTACTTATATTTTGTAATAAATAATTTACATCACATTATGATTGGGATTATTAAACAAACAAACAAAGAAAGAAACTGGGGTAACAGAAGTCTGTTGTGGTAATTTCTGGGCACACACTTTGAGGTTTCCCTTCTCTTTTACCTCCCAGGTTGTGTATATCTGTAGAATATGGGTTTGGATTGTTAGGGAAAAAAAACCCTCCTATTTCAGCTATTTCCCACAATATACATATATTTCAATTCTAGATAACTATTGTTATATTTTATTAACTTATTAAATTGAACCAAAAATTAAAATTGTAATCAAAAGGAGAGAGGCCTTTCACATTCATCACCTGTGCAATGAAGAACACAATCTGTGAAAAAGATTCACTGCATCTAGACACTCTATACTCAGAGTATCCATAGTACATGAGTGATTTTTAATACCTGAAAAGAAGTGGGCCTTGAAGCCTTTCTTTGAGACTGTGTTGTCAGATCTGAACTCAATTCTCATATTGTTGTATTGTGATGTGATAACTTCAGGCACTTCTGTACCACAAAATTTACCATGCAGTTTGGAATCAGAAGAAAGGCCACTACGAATCTCCACGTAATCATATTTGCAAACCTAGGAAAGAGAAAGATTTTTGTATTGGTTAGCCAAAAATAGATAAAAATTCCATACAAGTGCCTTTACACTTAAAATGTAAGCTCTTCTCTTGATTTATGTTACAAAGTTAATATTTTATTGACTTTTCAATATTTAATATTTTTTGCATCTTTTCTGATACTCCTTTATAAATGTTTGTTGATTTTGTTTCAATATAATTTTAAACACTACAACATATTTAAGTTCTTAAATGACATGTTTTAAGACAAAGTTCATGCATTAATATGTAGTGTCTACATTGTCTACATTTTAAAGTGTTTAATAGCTCAGCCATTTTAATTAAAAAGGAAAAACTCTGAAGACATTAGACTGAGGCCTCCAAATGTTCACTTTGAAGAATAAAGTCATCTCTGAGTCATAAACATTTATGGGTTCTGTATGCTTGCGGATTTGTTATTTTTTTTAACATCCTATAATCTAAAATATATTACCTTTAATTCGGAAATTTTTTAACATCCTATAACCTAAAATATATTACCTTTAATACGGAAATTCTGCAAGCCAAGTCTTTCCCATTGTAAATTTAAGAACACGTTATTTTCTTGTGAAAGTATAAATCTGCATTGTTAATAGTGTCACTTCTTTCTCAACAGTGGCACTGATATAATTTAGAGGACTCATTTGTGTCATTTTCACTAGGAGGTTTAAAAAAATCAGCCCTTATGCAAGGCCTACTACCCAGGATAATACTTTCAGTGCATAATCCCATGTCTATATAAAACCTTCCACTTCAAAAACTTCTAAGCTTCTTAGGCTCAACTATCAATCATTTAATCAAAAATGTTCCAGTTGTATGCAATTAATAGCTTAAGAGAAAACAGTGGCCGGGGGATTCATACAAGGCTTAGATTGTGCATGAAATGAAAGCATGAATTTTATAAATCACAATCTTTATTTTTTTAAACCACACAAAAAGATTATTTTGGCTTTTGTTACTATCTCCTTATGGACTATAAAAATGATTTCCAATGTTTTGCCATAATGGAGGGAAAGGTTTAAAGTGCTTATAACTACTGGAATCACTTTCACATGTTACCGCTGTGGAATGCAGCTAATTCAGTCATAATAACTCCACTTAAATAATATTAAGAGTCTTGCTTAATGCAACAGGCACAAGGAAATACTGAGTTACAACTGGAAGTCTACTTTAACTCACCTGAGTTAAATTCTCAGCTTGATACCTGGAATTTTCACATGCAACTCCCAATAATGTGAACACTGAAGATAAAACCCAATATCCACTGCTAAGCCTATCAGTATGCCTTAAGGTGAATCTTAATGCTTTTGTGGGTTTAAATTGGACATGTAATATTATTTGAATGTAGGCTTAGTGATATAATTTCTGTTATATGGCATTCTGTTATATAAAACATTAATAGAAGTACAAGTATATTAAAATTGTATTTATTAGAAAAGATGTATATAAATATATCCAGCTAATTTAAAATTATTTATTCAGCAAAAACAATTTCATAGTTAATTAAGTCTCATAATAAATAAGTATTTAAATCATTTCTAACATGCGGACTGTAGGTACCCATTTTATGTCTGTATTTTTAGACACTATATAAAATATATTAGTGGCCTGATATACTATAACAGTTTCTTCTGGATAACAAAGTACTGACATTCACAACTTCTGTTAGTATTATCCATCTAACATCTATTTTTAGCAACACAAGAGAGGAGAATGGCCTTATGATCAAAACACAGGGCTGAGAGTTAGGAGATCTACATTTTTTTTTCCCACAATCTGCCAGTCATAAATCCTGTGTGACCTTGGACAACTGACTCAGTTTCCTCATCTGAAAAATGGAGACACAAACTTAGAGCTGGCTAGAAAACAGCAATTTTTGGGGAAAAAAAGTTTGGGGAGGATGGAGACACAATAAAAGTCTTCAAGTAAGTAAAAGGTTGTTATAAAATGGAGGAAAATAATTTTTTCTCCTTATCCACTGAGGACCAGATGAGAAATAATGGGCTTAAATTGCAGCAAGGAAGGTTTAGGATTGATATTAGGAAAAACTTCCCGTCAGGGTAGTTAAGCACTCGAACAAATTACATAGAGACACTGTGGAATCTCCAACATTGGAGGGTTTTAAGAACAGGTTAGATAAATTACATGTTCTATGGGTATTCTCAAGACCATTTAGGGATGATCTAGACAATAGCTAGTCCTACCTCAGTGCAGACTAGATGACCTACTGAGGTCCCTTCCAGTCTTACATTTCTATGATTCTATGTCTGTAAAAGACTGAGATGCTGTATAATTAATTATCTGAAGCCAGGGAGCTTAAAAAATAATAATAAAAAAAATCAGAGAGTTCATTCCACAATCCAAGTAGAAAGTTTATTTTGATATTCAGTCTACATGCTTTTTTTACTTATTTCATTCCATTGTTCCTTATTATACTTCCTGTTCCACTCTAAAAATTACTTTCCTTTCCTAGGATTCTCACCTTGAAATGGTTATAGATGCCTATAATGCTCCATTACTCCTCATTTAACCAAGTTATATATACTCAGTATTTTTATTCTCTACGCCTAATTCAGTTCCTCCAGATTTTTGTCTTGTCTTGAATTCTCTCCAATTAGTGGCTCATCCATTTGTTTTGTTTTAGTTTGTTTACAAAAAAGCCAGCTGAAGCTCAGCAAAGACATTTATTTTAATAAATATACATTATGATACTCATATTTTAAAGAGAGCAAGCCATGCTATGCATGTTTTGAAAGACTCCAGAAACAGTCCCAAACTCAAAGTCAATGAAAACAAGATTTTACATGGAAATTGTCAGTATTTGAAGCAATGGTGTTATATGAGACAATTTCTATTTTTGAACAATCCTGCAACAGTTGACGAGTTTGTATAATTCTCAGTTCATGGTTACTTACTTCATTCCCTTCTAATTCAAAAAACTCAAACTTCATTGAAATTCTGTATTGAGTGGGAGCAACCACCTGCCATACACAGTTTTTGTTTGGAGGATATTCTTTGGGCCATCCTGGCGTGGTTATAGTCCCATTTAGCTTTGTCAGAAGTCCCCCACAAGCAGCTGTAATGTAAAATGAAAAGGAAGCACCTCACTTGTTTGCAGGCTCCCCTGAAACCACATTTTGTTATTAACAGAAACATATGAAGTAAGAGATTCAGCCCTCTCAGACATTATTTGTATTACAGTAGTACCCAGAGAGACCAATCACGATCAGGGCTCCATTGTACTATGACACGAACACAAGGAAAGAATAGTCCCTGACTTCAACAGCTTACAATCTAATTTAAGACATTTGAGTGCATTGAAACACTACACAACACTTTATATCACATTCACCCTTTTCTCTCTCACCCAGTTCCATATACCCACACAATCCTCCCAGATCCTGTCTCTTCATCTGTATTTCCCAGGCTCCATGGGACACATCACTCTCTGCTTCCCTCACCCCTTCTCCTCTACACACTTTATCCCTGATGCAAAATCTGTAAGGGTGAAAGATTTCAGCTGTCCTTTCAGCATAGGTTGTATAAAGGTGCCTTGTCCTTGCCAAAGGGGCTCTTCCCCCAGTGATGGTTTATTAATGATATGAATGATGGGATGGATTGCACTCTCAGCAAGTTCACGGATGACACTAAACTGGAGGGAGAGGTAGATACACTGGAGGGTAGGGATAGGGTCCAGAGTGACCTAGACAAACTGGAGGATTGGGCCAAAAGAAATCTGATGAGTTTCAACAAGGATAAGTGCAGAAGGACAGAAGAATCCCATGCACTGCTACAGGCTGGAGACCAACTGGCTAAGCCTTTTCTGCAGAAAAGGACCTGGGAATTACAGTGGACAAGAAGCTAGATATGAGTCAACAGTGTGCCTTTGTTGCCAAGAAGGCTAACAGCATATTGGGCTGCATTAGTAGTATTGCCAGCAGATCGAGGGAAGTGATTATTCACTTCTATTCGGCAATGGTGTAGCCACATCTGGAGTACTGCATCAAGTTTTGGGCCCCTCACTATAGAAAGAATGTGGACAAATTGAAAAGAGTCCAGCGGAGGGCAACAACAATGATTAGGGGGCTGGGGCACATGATTTATGAGGAGAGACTGAGGAAACTGGGCTTATTTAGTCTGCAGAAAAGAAGAGTGAGGAGGGAATTGATAGTAGCCTTCAACTACCTGAAGGGGTGTTAAAGAGGATGGAGCTAAACTGTTCTCAGTGGTGGCAGATGACAGAACAAGGAGCAATTGTCTCAAGTTGCAGTGCGGGGAAGTCTAAGTTGGATATTAGGAAAAACTATTTCACTAGGAGGATGGTGAAGCACTGGAATGGGTTACCTAGGGAGGTGGTGGAATCTCCATCCTTAGAGGTTTTTAAGGCCTGGCTTGACAAAGCCCAGGCTGGGATGACTTAGTTGGGGTTGGTCCTGCTGAGCAGGGGGTTGGACTAGATGACCTCCTGAGGTCTCGTTCAACCCTAATCTTCTATGATTCTACGGTGCTCAGGTATTATTCATGTACAAAGGTTACTTTTGTTAAAAATACAGCTGTTCAAATAATATGGTGAAAAAATCAGAATGTATTTGGGAATAAATTATCCAAATTCTATTCTACGCTCTCTTATTCATGGGGTTCATACTATTTTATTCACAAATATTTACACAATCATCAGGTGTTTCTAAAATATAATGAATACAGAAAGTTTCATTGCTTCACCTTTTTTCAGAAGAATTTCTGCTAACCTTATTAGTCATTCATTATTCTCCTGTTAAAAAAATTCAGTCATCCAATCAGGCCGCAGAAGTGTACCATATGACCAAACACACAGCACAAATAGGAAGGAGTGACTAACTTTTCAGCCTGAGGGTCAAACTCCTATTTCAAAAAAGTCAAGTCAAAAGTCACAAGCAATATTTTGGAGGCAGATTCTTTACCCTGATTCACTACATTTGTGACACTCAGGCATTGCTAAGGAACCTGAAACCACCTATACGTACTCCCCCACCCAGCATGGGGGTATAGAACCAGCATATCAGCTCCTAGTGGTGCAGAAGGTGAGTTGAAAGCTGGATGTTGGTTGGAACATACTGCACTCTGGTTATTTCCATCTGGTTTAGAGAGCCTTGGGGATCATGGTCAGTTGGCATAAGTTAGACAGATCCCTAAGCTGCTCTAACCTGGGGTGGGACAAGAATGAGGGGAGCTGCAAGTGTCACACCCCAGGGACTCCCTCCCTGAGGGTCCCATGGGAAGGCAAATCCCCATTGGTAACGAAAATCTGTCACACAAGTGGCTGTTCATCCTCAAGTTCTCCTTTCTTTTCCCTCTCCTGGATTAACCTGAGTGACTGTGTCAGGAAGGAGGCAATGGAATAGCCAGAATTAGTCTCCTACCTTCTCTGAAATATAGCCAGAGGGGAAGCTGTTGAGCAGGTACACTAGGGAAGGGATAGCAGCTCTCAAGAGTGCTTCCAGCTCTCATCAGAGCTGCTCCTGGTTCTGTATGGGAGCAGTGGGAGGTAATTTCTCCTGAACGGTCTGTTTTAGGGAGTTTTCTGCAAGACTCTCCTCTCTTCCCTAGTCTTTACTGATCGAGATAGGCACCCAGACAAAAAAACACTTTTTACAATTGGATTGGGATACACTTGTTCTGGCTTCCAGTATGAATCAGCAGACAAGCCCTGCATCTCCATGCAGGATCCTGGAACCAGACATCCCATGTCATAATGCGTATTTGGAATATAGGGTATTTTTCATGTGTATGTTGAGGAATTTGAAACAAAACATCATGATGGACTCTTATGAGCCGTAGTACTCATCATGTCAATGAGCTAAGGATACTGAAATGTCTCATACATTTCTAATACTATCTTTAAAATAAAGCTCAAGGAAACTAAATACAAAATAAATAATGAATGTTACTGTCATAAATCTGGTTTAATCCCACAATATCAAAGAATTCAGAGATAGTACCCATTAACTTCATCTAAAGAGAGCCACATCACTGGGCAATGTTCTCAGACCGCTTACAATACTTAGGCAAAATAGATGAAAGAAGGATGGTCTAAAATGTCTCATGTCTGAATTTACTAGTATTTGTGAATTAGCATATGATTATCGCTATTTTAATGACCGTAATACTGAGCATCATTTAGTGTGCATATATTCAGTGTTATGGGCGAAGAAATATCTTAATCTAACCCTAGTTTTGCAATATCTTCCATTTAAGGGCCTTTTTGATTTCTTCAGATGATTATTAAATCTAGTTTCCTTGCTTTTAATAAAAAGCTTTGATATCAGATTATATTTCAAACATGACTTTTTAAAATGAAAAGATAAGTAAAAGGACACTTTAAAATAACAGTAGAAACCCATTGCAAATCATTAAATTTTGGCAAACGAGGGAGCAAGTGAACAAATGTAGTTATAAAAGCAAGGATAACATATCACAAACCAGTATTTCATTCATTTGACAAGTGAAGCTTAGTTTTAATTACAATACATTGTAGCAATGTATATTTATGTATGGAGTAAATTTATGTCAGATAATTTTATAAGAATAATGAAGTCTTTGAAATATGAAATCTCAGTGTGTTGCTATGCTGTTAAATCCTTCCTAATACACACAGAGAAAATGCTCTTTTCTGAAGGCGAATTATGTAGTGTATGGATCAGTGAAGTGTGAATTAATAAGGTTCTACTGTACATAATTTTCCAGTTGAATAACAATAAAACTTGAACAGGATAAATTGGTAATTAATACTATTATAGACAGACATTGTACAGTGGAGGATATTTTCCAAGCTGCATGCCAATACCTATATTCACTAATGCATAAGCTTTAGTACGCAAAAAATGGCTTTATAAAATGACATACCTTATAAATTTTAGGACTTCTTTAAATTAGCAGCATACTGTACCTTCACAACTCTTTTTGTCAGGTCCAAGTTCATAGCCAGGATCACAAGCACACTGATAACTACCCAAGGTATTCACGCACCGCTGTTCACAGCCCCCCTTGTCAGGTTTGGCACATTCGTCTTCCTCTATGAAGACATAAAAGAATGGAAAAGGCATTAATTAAAAGTCTTTACCTTCCCCATCTCTAATTGTTGAACAGATTGATATTATCTGCAGCAAGTGGTGTGCATGCCAGTGAACTTGTCTATATAGCACATCATCTCCACTGACTGGAGCATTTTTAAAATCTTAAAGACCTGAAACTGGGTAAATAAAACGTATGTTCCTCTTTTCCACTACAATAGCAACTGACAGCTACAGACCTAATTTATAAGCACTTTGTGGCCAGCATACAATGATTTAGGCAGCAGCAATCTAAAGGTTGTGTAAAGTACTGAGAGAATGATTGGAAATCCTCAACAGGGTCACTTGAAGGGCACTTTTATCTCCAACAGAATGAATTTGTACGTTATCCTGAACTCATACTCAAAACCAGATTAACAGAATCCTCAAATCCCAGTTTTCATTCTACTGATATTAAAGGAAACAAGATGCATCAGAAAAAATGGAATACAGAATTATCTCTGCTAGCTGTGAAACATGCTCATAATATTCAAGCTCAAATATGCCTGAGATGTAGTATATATCATTTCCTTGCACAGTGGCAAATATGAAGAATATTCTCATTTGAAATAAACACTGACAATTATTTTCTCCTCTCCCACCTCTGTATAATGTGAAAACTGATGGTAAGGGCTAGATCATCACTAGCCCTTTGTGGCTGGGCAAGAGAAGAATACGGGAGAGTAGGTTACCTGTACCATGGGTTCCACACAGCTTCTACATCCATACCCTGTGCACACAGGCATCATCATCATCATTATTATTAATAATAATAAATACAGGGAGGACTGGATGGAGCATTGGCTTCATGCTCCCACCACATTAATGTAGTGACTGTGAAAGCACTGGCATGGCAAGTGATAATACTACACCAGGCACTAATCCTGCTGCAGTTTATTTCCTCCCTGGAGCAATGAGTAGACTGAAAGGGAAATTGTGACTCTCAAAGTCAAAATACGCTTCCTGAGCTCTTCCCGGGGCAACTCCAGTATGCCCTTGCCCTTGCTGGTGGTGGATAATAAAGTGACAATGACTTAAGCGATTAGAAAAAATGATACATTTTCTATTTAAGAGAAAGCACAAACGTTCATAATAATGAACCTCTCAGACAATACCATTCCTATTCAAATTTTATTCTTTCAATTATTTTTTATAGACCCGCAACATAATATTCCTCTAAACATATTTAAGAGGAGTGATTACATCTCTATCAAAATTCAACCAATCATTCGAAGAAATTAGAAAGACAGACTGGGTTTGATTTTTCACCCCCTTGCGCCTTGGGTAGTCATTTACATGTGTGCAGAGTGAGTGTAAAAACACTGCCATTTTGATCGGTTAACATTTTACACCCAGTTTGCCTAGGTACTGATGACTGAATAAAAAAGAGGTAGTAAAAGGTAGTGAAAAATCAGGCCTCTAATCAGAACAGAAACTAAACTAATATTAATTTTGTATTCTACCAATATTACATCCTTAATGTTCTGGGTAACAGAGCAGACAAACATTGTAATTCTTCTATATTTCAATACTATAGGAGAGTCAATCCCCATATAATACATACCTTTAAAAAAGTTAGCAGCAAACCCTGCTTTGTTAACTGTTCCATCAGAAACAAACTTCATCCACAGGGTATTAGAGGTAGCTCTAATATCTTCTGGCTTATCATAGCCACAGAAATGGCCAATCAAACGACTATTTTCGCTGGTTCCATCTCGGACTTCTAAGTAGTCATAGGCACAGTTGTCATGTCTTTCGATCTGTAAATATACAACAGTGCTCTGTTTAACCAGGGACTAACACATAACTAAATAAAACTCCTTTACATTAAGTGGAATAGAAAATGTTCTTTCCTTTGGAAGACCATATCTATGGTCATAGAGAGTATAACAACTGATGGGACAAAAAAGAAACGTTCTTGATAGGTCTGTGTGTTACTACACTCACTTTCATGAACAGAAGCAAAATCTATTGAGATGTTGATAAGATACAATAGCTTAATTGCAAAAAATCAGCTGTCTAAATAGCTACAAAACAAGGCCCCATGTACTCCACAGTAAGCTTGATCTAAACTCTATGGAAGACCTGGTTTCTGCACAATCTAGTGCAGAAGACTAGTGATTCAGTGGCAGTTTTTGACAAATAAAGAAATTTAAATTTTATTGAACTGAATATAAAAATGAACTATAATCAGGAAAGTATTATTTTTGTGTTATTTAATTTGATGTTAAATTCAATTTATTTTATGCTATCCTTTCATTTTCAATGTAGTGCAAAATTCTGCATTACTGCTTTCACCCTGCATAACTACATTCTAGAATTTGATGTGGGAAGCTAGACGTACTGGCAGTGAATAGAGTTTTAGGCACCTAGAGAGTGTGGGAGGCAGACTGGAATTACCCACATTTGCTGTTAAATGGTGAGCAATGAAATAATTAATAGTAATGACACTTAAAATGTCATCATTACATCTCTGAAGCTGTTAAGTTTCCTGTTTCACTTTGGAGACTCCTGATTTCAGGTGACCTCTCTTGACTCTTCCAGGCAGCTGACTGAACCTTTGACATATAACGGGAGAACCCTAGCAGGACTAGAAATATGTGGGTAGGACATCTCATCCACACATCCTGCCAGAAGACCTCAGACCATAGACACAATTTTGTGTATGTCTTAGGTTAGAGTACCTCACACTCCCTACCTAATAGTGTGTAGAGCACCTGTCAGAGTGGGAGTTGCAGCAGAGAGTAAAGCAGCCGTAGGACCTGGAAATGAGCCTTATGATCTTATATCTCAGGAACTGCAGATAGACTCCCAAAGAGAGAGACAGAGAGAGAGACAGACAAAATCTCCCCCTAATGCAACCAGAACTCTTATGGCTGCTTTACCTTAGGCTTACCCCATAGTTTTAGAATTATGGAATACAGGTGCATGGAATCCTGCCTATAAATAAATTAACTAAATCCAGGAGAATAAAATTATATCTTCTGAGAAAACCTGTTATACAAACAAATGGCAGGATTTCTATTTTAAAAGGAGATTTCTTAGTTAAGCAGAAGGCTCAAATCAAATCTATTAACAGAACCACCCTTTTAAAAAAATACAAGCAAACTAAATCTCATCCCCAAATGGATTTTTTTGTAATATGGAATTAAACCTATTAATATAGTCTATGACAGTTTTGCTGTTCATTCATTTGGTTGCTGAAATACTATACCTACTGTGTATTATGAGCAGAACTAAGAAGCTTTTGCTTAGTACATTAGGATTTCTGATTCTTTTATGCTCAGTTTTGTTTATTTCATTTTTTTTAAAAAAGAACAAATTTTGTCCCTCTTGTACAAAACTTGTTAATTTTCTTATCTAAGTCTCCAATATTGCATACACTTAAACATACACGTAACTTTCCCCGTGCAAGCAGTCCCATAGAAATGAGTAGGACTACTCACATGAGTAATGCTACAGGGGCTTATGTGTTTCCAAGCTCAGGGCCTTAATTAATTACAGATATCCATTTAGGCATTTTGATCATGAGCAGTATCAGAACCAGAGTGAGGATGGTGAGTAAGAAATATCATAACCTGGGGCACAATTATCGCTGTACTGACTTCAATAGGAGTTTCACGTGGACAACTAACGTTGTGGTCATGCATGTGTCTATCTGAGCACCAGTTTTTCAGAGATGTAGAGGGTAAATTTTAAATGTATTTCGCATTCCAATTTTTTTTAAAGTTATTAAATTGACAACTTTTTAATGTTAACAATTACAATATGCAATTCTGTTAGCATTATTGTATTAACAGCAATAGAGTAAAAAGCTATTACATTCAGATGTAGAATCATAGAATATCAGGTTTGGAAGGGACCTCAGGAGGTCATCTAGTCCAACCACCTGCTCAAGGCAGGACCAATCCCCTGACAGATTTTTGCCCCAGATCCCTAAATGGCCTCCTCAAGGATTGAACTCACAACCCTGGGTTTAGCAGGTTAATGCTCAAACCACTGAGCTATCCCTCCCCCCCAGAGGGGCTAGCGGCCTGCTCCAAAGCCCATTAAATCAATAAAGGGTCTAACTGTATTATTTTTTGTCCACAGTTCATTTTTACAGGAGCATAAGTCATTCAGCAATTCAATTTTTTTCTCTGATAGAGGAACATTGTTCCACTCTATAGGGGAGTTTGGAAAATACTTTTATGGGCCAAATTCAGCTCTAAATTTCATGTGCCCAACTCCCATTGAAGTAAAACACTAGAATTTCCTTTCTGAGCATCACCTTTCATTTTTGGCAGAGGAAGAAAGATAAAAATCTATTTTGGGCAGTGGTAAGTTGCTAAACATCTAAGACTATAAAAATCAACCAACTTATAAAGTGCTATTGATTTACACCAAACATTCAAGTAAGGTGATCATTTGACAAGATTAATTTATTTTTAGTTCAATACCACTGCAAGTGGTTCCAATACTAATAATCTTTAGAGATTAACTAGTTACAACCTGAAATACAAACCAGAAGTTAAATATAGTGTTTTTGGACAAGTAATAAGTAACTTTAAAACCCTTTGGCAACAAATAAAAAGAACTGATTTGAACGGTGTTTTCCTTATCTGAGTCTCATATTTTAGGACATTATGGTGTTGTGTTATCTGGCAGCACTGCTGTGCAAAGACCTGCTATGCTAAACTACAAAAGTCTGCTATGCTTCCCAGTATAGAGTTTGATCCAACACCTATTTAAAGTAATGGAATGACTCCCACTGAGTTCAGATTGGGCCCATAAACCTTGCTTATTGGAGGGTTAAAATGTCATTCCTTCAAATTACATGTGGGTGAAGAATGTGGAAATTGTTAGTAAATAAATAAAACATATTTTAATTTTTACAGCAAAAAAAAAAAATGTAGATGTGTTGGTAGCATCAGCAGCTGAAGGCTCCTGAAGAAAGTCAGGGCAGCATGACAGAATGAGGATGAAGGAAAGCCAGAGAAACCCTCTCGATGGAGGCAGCAGAAGTGGCCGGAATGGGGTCTCCAGGTGGGACTGCTTCAAGTGGCCATGGGGACCCAGAGAAACTGGTTGGATATGGTCCAAAAGAGGTTACGACAGGTGGGAACTTGGCAGGACACTGACCCATCCTCCCAAACCAACCTGTTCTATATTATCTCTTCCTTTCATGCCCAAGGTGAGTTAGAGGAGGGTTCTCACCAGATCTAATGGTTTGGTGAGACAAGCAGCTCAAGTCCAATTCAGCTTTCTCACATTTAGTGTTTATACAGTGTGTGGCAATTGGAGAAGTAAAAAGTAGGAATGCACAGAACTCCAACTTTCCTTCCCCGTCTGGAGATAACACCACTGGCAGAACAGTCTGGATTCTTATTTTCAAAATTTTTACTGTCTCAGACAGTTTCTCAGAATTTATTTTTCAGCCCCAGAATAGTCAATAGCCTAGTGGAAGGGATGTGGAAAATTCACCTTGGATGTGGAAAATTCAAGTTCAAATCTGTGTTCTGCATGATTTGGACTAGCAACTTGGGACTCCCACATTGCAAGTGAATGCCCTACCACTGGACTATAAAGTCACTCTCTCTTCTGACCCAATGAATAATTATTTATACAAAGTGGAACATCTCCAGCTAGAGAGACTCGGAGAGATTGAGAGAGACTGATTAAGTGGAGTTAATTATGCTAATATTTATGCTGCTCTGCCTAAACATCACATAGTACAATTCCTCTATTCCTGCTAAAGAAGAGCAGGTAATCCTACACTATGCAGAAGCTGCAATGCCCACAGCAGGCAAAACAAGATGACTCAGTGATAAAGTCTGAAGTTCTTGGCTTTTCTGGGGATTTAATTATAGACTGGAGGTTATTTATAAAGTTATTTCACTGCATTGTGTGCAATCAGAATTTATGAAACAGAAAAGCACCTTTCAAAGGACAAACACATTTTCTCACAAACACAGTGTAATAACTTCTGTCTGCCCTTTACTATTTTTGGACACAGGGACTTCTGATTTTTAAATCACTTTTCTGTTTTGCTGGGCAATGCACCAAGTATATAGAAATAAAGTGACATATTTGAACTTATATTTGAGATAATTTTGCTACAGTACTGTTATCTATTTAAGGATATCTGATACCTTTTGTCATTAGCAACAGAACATTCAAAATTTTTCTTTTACAGATACATACGTTGCCTACAATAAACCTTTAACACTCATGAATTAATACATTTGGGGGAGGGGTGGATTACAGTTCAGCCATAAGTATATCCAATATTGATTGCATTTCTTTTTTTCATTTTATCTATTTCTTTGAAATCTTTTCCAAACACTTGCTGTCTCTTGAGTTTTCAGCACCAGAGGAGGTGAAGCAAAATTTCTTGAAAGAAGGAGTGAAACCAAATTATGAGTGGCTTAGTAAGCTATGCTGCCAATATAAGCTTAAAGTTGGACATTGCTTGTTTTGTTTATATGCCGCAAAGGGATAATCTGTTGTTGTTTTTTTGCTATTTCAGAGAAGACAAACTGATTCCTCGCAGGTAGTAATAAAATCAGAACCACTGCTCTATATTTTTGTTAGTATAGCTATTGCAGGAAAGGCATTCCTTGTCCATTAAACAAAGTAATCTTGTTTAACGTCAGATTTCATAGAGCTGTCCTAATCAATCCTGATCCATTATAACAGACTCTCTGTATTTTGATATAGAAAGGTATTATTAAGAACTACAGTATTACTGAAAATACTGTCCATTTAAAACAATTTTCAACTCTGAGCCAGGACAGTGAAAGCCTAACTAGCATTCAAAATGATCCTTGGGCAGGGGAAGAGCCTCCTGCCTTACATGGTATGGGACATCAATTTAACTGACAAAAAGATAGGAGACTGCAGGTAACACCTATGAATGTTTATAATGTTTTCTAATGTTTATAATATATGGTCATTACAAATGGTAAATTTTGTCACTGAGGCCTGATCTTTTGATAATTCCATGCCAGAACTTCCATTGATTTTCAAGGGTGGTACATCATTTAAAGGCTGCAAGACCAGGAACAAGAGAGATGAAAGAGCCAGATGTTTTTTCACGGATGCACAAAGGGACTTGGGCATTGCAATGCTAAGAGTCACTTTTAGGCAGATAGGAAATCAAAGGAATACTACTGAGATCCACAAAACCTGAGTTAGTCACCTAAGCTCCCTATAAAATGAATGGAGAGAGATAGGGACCGAAGAATGCAGTCCACAAAAGCCAGCACAATAGGCTGGGAGCCACCTAAAATACCCCGTGGGAAATGTAGATTGCAGTGGAACCAAAACTGTAATTAAATCACCAAAACGCAAGATTTAGGCACCTAAGTATCTTTGTTAGTCTGAGCCCTAGTTCCTAAATTCATACTCTAGTGAAATATTTAAACAAAAAGAGTAGACAGAACAAGTATTACTAACTTAGCTGTGAACTTATAGTATGTATAATGGGTTGTATGAAATATCAATTGCCTGTGTTAGGGACAAGTTTGCTGGCCTGTACCATTCAATAAAAATGTTTATAGAGATCCACTATAGATATGTTAAATTTGAAAAAAAAAATATGGGCTTTTAGACCATTTTAAGAATTTGGCTTTTTAAAAAATACAGTACTTGTTTCTGCATAATAAAAACAGAAAATAGTGCTTTCTTTCCAGAAAGGCATTCCTTTTTTTAAACAATTAGATTGAGAAAAGAAATAACAGCTCTATTATTTAATAGAATCCTAAAGCAGTCTTGCGAAACAGGATTATGCATTTGTCAAAAGAAACTATTGTCAGTATTTAAAACATTCCAATTCAAATAGCACAGATAACGTAAAACCCCTTTAATCTTCTTGAAAATTTCTGCAACAGGAAAGGTCCCAAGGAAAGTAAACTTCAGCAGTAGACTTTTTTTTTTTGGGGGGGGGGGGGGCAGAGGAGAGAATTCTTTGTTTCTTCATTGGTTTAATGAGGATTCCCTTAAATGGCACTGTCAGTTATCCACTAGCTGGTTTGCTGAATCAGTTAAATGGCTTTACCTCAAATGCCTGAAAGGTTAATCCGACATTGTAGTTCTCTGACACTGTTATTTTCCACACACATTCCTTCATTGGTCTGTAGTCATCAGGGTAATTAGGAGACTGGATCTGGCCTTCGTTTTTGTGGATCTCACCTCCACAGATTGCTGATGAGAGCATAAAACTCAATCTAAGTATATTTTCAGGACTGACATTTTCCCTTCTTCTTGAACTGACATATTTTATGTGGTGATGAAATTATACAAGAAAAAATGTACAAACTTTAAAAAGGTCAAATTGCTGAAATCAAGCTTGGTTGTATAAACTACTGCACATTTTCACAGAATATTTAATGTTTTTAATAATGCAGTACCTTTAACACTGGAGAAGACTCCGGAATCACTGATATTTATGATTTGTGACTGCTTAAAAAGGCATTAAAATTGTCACAAAATAATATCACTTTTTATATGCTTTTAGGGTTATGTAACATACATTTCCCATCAATAGCCATGCCCATATGTAGTTTATTAGCCTCAGTAAAACAGAATATTGAGACAGAAACTTCATTCTCTACATCTATGAATTTTTACCTACAAACTACAGTCTGCGCCTGGAAACACAAACATTCTGAGTTCAGTGAAACAATTCACATGAGTAAGGTTACTCAAATGCATAAGTGTTTTCAGGATTCGGGCCTACCCTCATATACTAAACATCTACTCTTTTCTATTAAACAGTGTTAAACTGGGCTTCACTGGTATTTCAAGAAGGTATCTATTAACGTTCTCATTTACTTAAACTACAGTGCATGCAAGAACAGAACCAGATTTTGTGAAGGAAGGTGGAGAAGTATAGAACTAAAAGTATAGAACAAAACATTAAATACATTTTCTCTTCAACGCTACCTCGTAAACAAGACATCCAACAAGAAATGTGCAAAACTCCCCGCTCCCAAAATTTCCCATGAAAAAGAGATAGCCACATTAATTTCCAAGGTGTCATTAACAAAATGGACTCAATACACCTGAACTAAAGGAAAATGGAAATTTTCCTATGTTTGGTAAGCTCGGTGCAGAAATGTAGGTATGTGCTAAAGAATAGATCTCAAAATCTATTGAGAAAGTTTAAGAGAGTTTCCAACTACCATTTAATTAAGAATTTTAAAATGTGCATGATATACTTATGACCACCATTACTGATGTTATTGGAAAGGATGATGTCTGTAATGAGATCATATTGGCAATTTCAAAATTATACATCTGTGAAGTTGATGGCCCATAACAAAACAACCAAAGTGTTTTCTTAAAAAGTAAGAAACTAATTTCAGATGAAGTTAATTTAACTATTTATCAATGCCCATATTTGTCAAGATATTAATGTGTTTCTTGTTAATCGTTATCCATATGATTAAGTCATCTTTAATATTCATAGTGACTTGCCTTCATAAACTGCTGCAAAACCTTTTCCTACCCAATTGCTGCTGCTACGGAACTCTATCCACATTCTGCTGTCAGTAGATGTGAGTACTTCTGGTAGTTTGTCACCACAGAACCTGCCTAAAAACAAGCAATGAATAAGCATACTTTATGTAATCTTTCAGGACCAAATCCTACAAGCACTTACATGTGGGTTTATCTTTATAAACAGGCTTGGAAGGATTAAATTTTTATCAGTAAATGTTGATTTCACCATACACACAAATCAACAAAAATATTTCCATTGATAATAATAGATATGTACAGAAAGGCAAAGTAAGAAAAAATGTTCCTTGAGAAGTTATTAGAGTTTGATTTAACAATATTTACTTTGTACATTTTGACATATGATGTTGACAGGGTTTAATGGTTATAAAACTTTACTTTTTAATTCTCAACAGCTACTATCATTAAATAATTATTGTCTGACCTCCTCCCCCCTGTTGCCTGACGCCACCCTCCCTATAATTTCCAACCATGAACATTTAAATTCAGTAAAAATGCTTTAAAATACATTGTAGAGAGATAGAGAGATTTTATTATAATATTGTTGGTGCTATTTTTCACAATTCCCAGCTCCTTTAGTACTATGAGACCACATGTAAAAGTCTAGAGGGATTGGGGGGCAAGAGAGTGTTCCTCTTTCTAACCATAATGAGTCAAACAATATCATACTTCAAACCTGTCACTGATCTAGAATTGAGCATTATGCATCCTGGACCTCATACTGGAATAATGTCAGCAAAAATTGAGGAAGAATTCCAATTTTGTGGGAGAAAAAATGGTAATGTTCTCTCTATATATTTTTTCTAAATTTAAAAATGACAGCTTTTTGAAGTAGATGGGATTAGTGGGTAGACTGCAAGTATGCTGGACAAAGACGTATAATATAGATAATTTATCATATGGATCTGTACTTTATCACATGGACATGAATACCATTACTGTATTTGTGGTAGCATGCAATATATTTCTCAAATTCCACAGAATAGCTTTGGCCTAAATTTTATTAGTTAAAAAGGCCAAAAATATATAATCCAGTTTAACAACTCTGTTGTTTGCCTACATTCTACTGAAATACAACCTGAAGCAATAAGTACCCATGCCTTTAAAAAGGATGTGCATGCATGCAATACACACTACATGTCCCAGCATACCACGGCCTGAGCATGGCATGTTGGAGTTTCAAATCTTCCCAGCTAAACCTCTATCTTTTTAATGAAAAGGGTGTCTCATGGGCTGCATTATTGACTTGCAAGAAGATATTGGTGCGTTGAATGTCCATTACTCAAACTGAAAGTTCTCCTCTCGTAACCACAATAGAAAAACTACAGAGACAAAGCTGATGAGTAGAACTTTACGGCTGGTGTTCTAGTCACAGCAAGTCAGTTACCAATTATGTACACTGGTAGTGCATGCGCCACTGACTACTTACTCAAAAAATTATTCCTAAAGTTCTATAATCAAATCTATAGCAACCTAGATATTTAAAACACAGAAATACTGCATGAGCCATTATTTTAAGTACACACATAGTTATTTGTCATGCTCAGATTCAAGCATCTACTTAATAACCGCTTGTTCCACTGAGATAAAAGTTTATTTCCTTTTTTGTTTGTTTGTATTTGTTTGTTGTCTGAAGGGGGAATTTTTATTTATTTTATTTATTTATATTTCCTGAGCATTTTGCAGTTTTTCAAAGATTTGCAAAGTTATTGTGAATAGAAAACAAGGAGTTCAATTTCTGCATGCAAACTATACATTGAACAACAGCGGAGTGGGAAAACGGTTTCATACCAAGCAGAGGTGATTTTCTCCAGTAGCCATCTCTTACTTCAATATAGTCATACCAGCAGAGACTGCTCTTGTACAGGTCCATTGTAGTAAAGTTTAAAACAATCTGCAATGCAGAGGAGAGTAGCATGCCATATAATTAACTTGGTTGTAGTTAGCACTAGAATATAGACAGCCCAACCAATATGCTGTGAAACCAAAGTCATACTGATCACCCTTAAAGTCTCGCCAATTGCCTAGATAGTTAAATAGCTAGTCCTTTGGCAGTATCCAAGTTATTTACTATAGTAAGTATAAGAGAATACCACAAGTACTGATGTAACTTTGTGTAAGGTAAACTGGCAGGCTTAAGGTTGACCACTTTAGCTTTACAGTTTCCAGAGTGTTTTTACTAAGAAATCCAAATGTGAAAGTGACAATACAGTAAAATGTTGTTCTAACATCATCACATTACATTATTGGCTATTACTTCATCCCAAGCCTTGTTCCATTCAGTGAATAGGACTTTAGGTCATTTATAACATCCCTGGGTATAAATGTCATTTATGGACATAAAATCACCACGATTCTCTTTCCCTTACTACTTTGAGAACTTGCTCTACATTCAAAAACTATGGGGTGTGCATTCAGTGTGATGACATGACCCGTGTTGAACACAACACCATTTAAAAAAAAATTGGATATACTGTCACTTTTTGAACAAAACCTAAATAAACTTATAACAGAGTTTCACTTAGCAATATCAGAATTTGGTGTATATGTGAAACTTCAGAACTTGCCGCTTCTGACTCACGCTGAAAAGAACTGAGTATATCCATAAATACACACACATTTTTTTAGTTAATGACACAAGCATTGCTGGAGGAGCATTCAGAATAATGCATCAGAGCATCCCATTTTCTCCAGAATTATTATACCCTATATCATCATAACATGTAGCTTTTCAACTGAAATAGTTAATTGAGGCCACACATTCACAATGGCCATAGGTTGGTTCCTAGCTCACTAGCACTGCCTTAGCAGTCTGGCCTACTCTATGTGAAGCTAAGTATCTCTCTCTTGTAGTGGTGGCATTGCTGTGAAATAATGGCTGTAAACATGTAAAGCATTAGGAGCATTAAAAGAAATATTACTGTAATCCATTGCTAAGGTCAAAGTTAATACATTTTGGTTTCACTTAGAACTTATTTTGGTATCCTGAAATTAACATACTTTGTAAGGGGGATAAAGGCAAGAGCACCATCACGTAACGATGATTCTTACAACCAGGTCAGATTTAAGAGAAGGTCAGCATAACAAGAAGATAAAGCATCACTCATTGCAAGTTTAGTCTGTAAAATAGTTCCTGGAATTCATAGGCTTTCATTCGCTTTCATTTTCCTTCTTTCCCCTTATTCCTTTTTTAAATGTAGGAAGTTTGATTCTGAACATTCTGAACGCTGGAAGCGGTTCGGCACCCTCGTCATATGGTTAACTCTTCATGATTTCAGTAGGAGTTACACACATGTAAATAAGGATAAAATTGGGTCCAGTGGGCAATGGGGAAAGCAGCCCACTTTATTTTCTTGCAACTGCATTTTGTTTAAGAGATCAAAAGTCTTTTTAAAACAATTCCTCACCAATTCCTTACCAAAAATATTCAACAAAAAGACTGATCTGAAGCATACTTGCACAACAGAAAATGTCATTACAGACCCTGTGCTACAGACCATTTTTGTGTGTGTCATGTGACTTTAATACTGGGTACTCACATTTTAAATATGCTGTTAGAGAGGAAACATTTGCTACTGTGCACTAATTTAAATTTCACACTACTACAATATATTCCCATGGCAGCCACATACCAGCTGCGTTTGTCATTTAAAACTGTCAGGGAACTCTCTTACTCCAACTGTGATGAGAAAAAAATAACATTTTAATCTGAACAACGGACCCAAATAGTCACTTAAAGGTTTGTTTTCATTGCTTCAAGGTGTACTATATATCCCTTTTAAGGAACATACAATACAGTATTTATCCACAAATCACAATCTTTCCCAGGCAACTTGATCTTGTAATAGAAGATAAACAATTAGATATTGTAGGCAAACTAATATACAGCTTAAATATAAGTGACTGAGAGCAATTGAATACCAAGAAAAGGAAAGAAGTTTCAAGTAAAGAAAAATTGGTTTCTTTCTTATTTTGGATAGCCCAACTTAAAAGTTAGGCAGTACTGGGAAAAAAGTTAGACAGACACTCATTTAAAACACTGGGTAAAACCTCCCCAAGAAAATGAAACAATGGGATTAAACAAAATCAAGGTTAAATGCACTGGTGCACAATCTAGCCATCTTTTAATGGCTAGATTGTGCCTTTAACACAGCCCTGCACAGGGGTGGTTCAGAGCACCAGGGTAAGCATCAGAAACCCTTTCCCAGAGCTCCCTGGTGTGCTACAGGGAACATGAACTGCCATGCCCACTTAATGAGTGCAGCAGTGCTTTATGCAGCTGTCCAGCTTCGCTGGCTGGCAGTTTGGGGCGGAGGGGGGAAACAGAGCATGCTTCTGCCTGCTCCCCATCCACTTAGGGATATTATAAACTCTGTGGAAAGCATCTTGAAAACAGACCTGCACTCCTTTAAAAGTGCAGGGACTGCAACAAATCTGACCAGTCCTTACTTGATCTTTGTGTCCCTTCCCCCTTACTGTATGGGACAGCCAGAAACTAGCATTAAATTCCTCAATCTGCAAGCAAAGAATTAATATTTTCAGTATAAATTTTATAAACTGGAAAACATAAAACATTTAGGTCTCATTTCATCATCTCACAAATGAACAGTTGTAGGAATTCCGGGTCATACAATAGAACCTCAGGAGTTACAAACACTTCGGGAATGGAGGTTGTTCGTAACTCTGAAATGTCTATAACTCTGAACAGAAAGTTACAGTTGTTCTTTCACAAATTTACAAATGAACATTGACTTAATACAGCTTTGAAATTTTACTATGCAAAAGAAAAATGCTGCTTCCCCTTTATTTTTTTCGTAGTTTACGTTTAACACAGTACTGTACTGTATTTTCCTTTTCTTTTTTTTTCTGCTGCTGCCTGATTGAGTACTTCTGGTTCCAAATGAGTTGTTTTGCTGACCTGTCAGTTCGTAACTCTGAGGTTCTACTGTAGTTATTTCAGAAGCTAAAATCTGTAATGATGGAATATTAATCAAATTATATACTAGGCTTAAAACCTGAGCCTAGGGATCAGAACTGAATACTTTAAAATCAGTCACAATTGTTCCTGAATCTGCTGTACATTTTTCTTTATTACACAATCAGTTAACATCTTTTCATAGAAATTGTATTAATTATTTGCATTGGAAGATATAAAGTTTTAGGTAATATTTTAGCTCTATTTTCATACTTCAGCTGTCTATTTTTTATCTGTTGAATCACCTTTCCATGAACTTCAAAAATAAAAGTAAATATAGTCTTAATGGAAAACTAGTTCTAACAATCTCTTTCCATTAGGTAACATGCAAGTGTTGATAAGACCCAGGATGCATTTATAAATGTCTAATTCAAAGAGATAATGAAGAACTTTAACATTTTATTCACTCAATGAATGAGATGACAAAGAGCTTTTTTATGGGAAACACACCATATCAGAACTATAGCTTCTTATAATATTTCTACAGGATTCCTTCAATGCTACTGTATTAGGTTTTATGGCTGTTGAACTACTGAGCTAAAAATGGCATGATTCGTGGTCAGAAATCAACATGAATATATTTAAGGTTCCATTTTGCAACTCTGCAGAAATCTGGAGAGCTGGAGACAGGCAGCACAACAGTTCAAGGGGACAGGATGACTGAAAGTCTCCAGAGAAAGACAATCAATGAACATTTGTCAGCACAATTAAGAAATTATTGGTTACATAAGCAAAGTCAGTCATGCCATTGCAGCCTCAAATAGAATAATATATCATGCCTCTTATTTGCTGGGATGAGAAAGAACAAAATACATTGTGGAAACGGGGCTATTCTATACATTTCTGCAAGGATTTTTTTTAATTGAATATTACTTTCGTAATAGTTGAGGATTAGTTATCCTCTTTAAGCAGCCATATAAAGGCTAAGGAAAAAATAGAGAATATTGAATATTGCATATTCAAAGGGCCAGATCCAGAAAACATTGGTACAGTTTAGCCCCCTATGCTAACTAAATCCTCGGAGCCAGAAAGCAGGGATTCACCCTTCAGTTGGCAGTGCTTGTTACCAGTACCACCCCTTGGAACCTCATCCCTCTTAATTTCCTACCACCAGTGACCTCATAGAGGATCTGTGTTAGCATAAGTCAGTGTGGATTATGGAATGAATATAGGGAAAAAGTAACACGCCACCAAACTATGTTGAAACAATATACTGTTCCGTCCAAAGAAACCAGAGCGCGAGAAGCCAGGAAGTTTGGAGTTAAGACTTCTCAGTCGATCATTAGGTCACATCTTATTTTAGGGGCAAATGAGTATGAATGCAAAATCCCAAAACAAACGGCACTTAACATTATTGTACCATTTATTTCAGTGTTTAAAAACAAAGGAAGTAAAATACAAACATAATTATGTTTCACTTGTTCCTTCATAGGGAATACAATGAAATAAGAGACTGATGTTCTACCATCATCCATATATTTTTGATGAAATGGACCTAAATATCTGTTTCTGAGGCATTGTGTTGTGTATGTCAATTAATTCTTAGACCCTGATTCTGCCAACCCTTGCTCACATTAAGGACCTTACTCTACAAGTATTCCCATTTATTTCAAGTAAGATACAACTTAGTGTGAAATGAGGCAGAAATTAATCCTTTGATTTTAATACATGGAACACTTACACAAAATGTGCATATTCTGCTCTCAGCTGCTACAGAAATCAATGGATATTGTTTCAGAGCCTGAGGATGGAGTTGAGACTGATAAATACTATATGTCATATTAAAGTATATTTAGGGAATCATTCTCTGTCCTTCATCTGTTTTTTGTCTTCTTATACTGTAAGATCTTCAGGACAGGCGCTCTTTCTTGCTATGAGTTTGTACAATATCTAGCATAATAGGCCCCAATCCTAGCTGGGGCCTTTGGACTCTGCAACAACATTATAAATATATTATAATAAACCTAAGGTCCTTAGAGCCATTCATATAAAATTGCATATGTCCTAGAAATCCTCAGAAAGAACTGCTTTCTAACTTAAACAAAACAGCAATGATTAAACCCTAAAACTTTATATATTTATTTATTTTACTGGAGAAAAGAAAAGAACGTAGGGCATTACATTTTTGCGATGGTAGCATTAACTGTGTTGCAATGCAGGTAGTGGGGATGTAAAACTATCCCTCCAGATGTATTTGCTTCCTTTGTGCAAACCTTCTCCTATTCAGCCGTTTTTATTTGCCACTCCCTACCAGCCTGCAGTGCCACCAACATCCTCCGAGCATTTGAGACTGCTTATTTTTCATCCTGTTTCACATGCCTGCCAACAGGAGGAGTAATACATTCCAAAAGGCTTTGCTTTTATTCATAACAATGGCAATAGCTCTCACATCTCTCTGGGATCTATCAGTGCATCAGAAAACAAACATGTTCATTAGGCTGAAGAGACACAGACCTTGAGAGAACTAAGAATATAGTAATTTTGTTTTAAGAGAAGGAATGGGAGAGCAGGGCATGGCCTGAATGCAATATCTGGTGGAGTATGGTGGATTTGGGTTTATTTTACTCTAGTATGAAGGGTACTTCTTAGTTCTTATAGCTCTCTCTTCAAAGCTGTATCAGTTTGCTTAATATTGCCCTCCTAATACCCTTTCCATCTCTTTAAAATGTACTTGTGTATTTTTTTCTGCACATTTTGTCTATGGGAAAACTCTCCATACCGCCCTTCATCCCACTGAAACTGTTTACTTGGAGGGAGATCAATATCCTAGTAAATAAATGAGAATAAAATATGGTAAAAGCTGGAATGCCCTAGAAAAGAAGAGCCGGCTTGTGCCTTCAATATCACAGAAACTTTGCGAAAGGAAGCCTCATTTCCTTCCCCTACTTAGTACCAGCCCAATAATTTTCTTGATCCATTTTTTCTAAAATTTACACCCAGGCTGAGAACTTGGACTCTGCTTCAGCATCATGCAAACTTTCACAATGAGACAAACTCCTGAAATCAAGGTATACAAATTCTCCACTAGAACACCACCAGAGAACACTTACAATGATACATTTAAAACTCTTGTAGCTTCTTCTTACTTTCCATCGTATTATATTCAATTTACAAATATAAACCCACTGACTGCATTAAAAGTGCTGGTATTAGGTAGGCTGCACAGTCAGTCTGGGTTTCCCCATGCTGCACAACCAATGTACCTCAGCCCCGTCCTGGAAGGATCATCCATGCAGATGAGAAGGTATTTGAAACTCCATGCCCATTAAACCCCTCTGCCTTTAGGCTGAGGCTGTCAATGGGGACGCAAGTTTTGATGGGTTTTTGTGATATGAACATCTACCTACTAAGAAGTGGACTAAAGCCATGAACTTACTTCATTTAAACAACCATCAGATGGCAACAACCTTGAGCGTCTAATCACATGGGCCAAAATCAAATCAATTGCCTACAGTCCAAAGTCTGTAACATATTGGCTCAAGGGACTGAATTGGTTCCTGATATTATGCAAACTTTAAAAAAAAGTAAAAAGAAAAGCTAAATAATCAGGGAAGAATATCTTTTAGAAAAGGAATGCTTGTGTTTATTTTGAGGGACAGAGGTGGTGAAATAATCGTTAAGTACCTTCTCCCCTGGGGTAACAGAGATTCGCCATATACAGTGTGTGTAGGAAGGATAACCATTTGGAAATCCTGGAGAGGAAAAGTTGCCTGTAGATTCTTGCAGTGTTTCTCCACATGCTGAAAAAAACAGAACATGGTAAAAACAGAGAAATTCATGTGTCTTATAAATATAAGGCACACAGGAAAAAGTGTCTCCTTTATAATATTTATTTAGAATTGATTTGATTCAGTACAGAGGCAGAATGAAAAGTGGTCTAGTGATATTATGATTTAGTCAAAAGCAATGATTTAAACCAGTCTGCTATACATTTTGTTTTATACATAGTTTTTTCTTTCCATGAACCCTTTCACTTATGTGCTGTGCAGCTGACATAACCAAAATTGTAAGAGTCTTAAAAAATTTCATAGCTGACAATCACATGGCAAAATTATACTTTATTTCTGTACAACTTTCTGAATTTACATGCAGTACCCACACCCATGCCCAAATTATCTGAGAAGAACTAAAAGAAAAACACAGTGCTTAAGTGATTGACATATGAGAAATTAATCAGCAGTTTCATTTAATAATTTACATTGTCCAGCATTAAGGCTGAATATGAACTGATGTATTCATTCATATTAGAATAGGAAACCTAAATCCTAAATTCAACAAAATCTCTTGCACAAAAATGATTTGTGGAGGTAGTAATAAAGAGAAACAAATGTAAATACCCATAATACCAAAAGCTTTGATATTCTGTATTACTAAAGCCTTTAGCTTACCTGTCAATCATGCTGCTAGCTGCTGGGTTACTAATTAATAATTCTTTCTTCCCACTGAGCTATATCATCACAAGCTGCTGCCATTCTCTACCATTAAAGCTGATTCAAGTAGGATTCCTACACCTTAGTCAGTCATCTTTGTGACCTTCAATCAACAAGTTGTTTCACCTACTGATTTTGTAGGTGTGATCGGAGAAATGTGAACTTGAGAATATTACCCCGTGACTGACAGTGTAATCAGATCTGCAATACTTTTAAATTACAGGGCTACAGCTGCCAGCAGGTGAACCACTGTATCATCAAAATCTCAATGAATTATAAATGATCTGGAAAAACCTTTAGATAAGAGGGTACAAAGGAGGAGACTGTATTTTGAAGACAGACAATGCAGCTATAAAGCTAGATGCTGCCTTGTTAAAATGTGTCCAAGATTTAATCTGACAATTGTATTGTAAAAGCAGGTTTAAACTCCATTCAAAGTACTAACCATGACTTCTGAAGATTTAATAGTGATTGTGATAAAGGAGAAAAAAAAGGACTCTCATTCCATCCGAAATTTCCAATGTCAAAGTGGCATAATATTGTGTCCTTTAGGAACCAAATAGAGAAAAATCTCTTACTGCCTTTATTTTAAAAATATGTTTCTCTCTCTCTCTCTCTCTTTTTTAATTTACAGACAATTATGTAAAATTACATACATAGAAAAGCTACTTAAATGTTAAACAATTATTTCTGTACAAGTCATTTTTAGAGAAAATTCTCTACTATAATTAACAAGAGTTTATTTTAACTCAGCATGAAAGAAAGTTCAAATAAATTGCAGAGTACTGTACTGGATTTCCCTAGTGCTGACTGATATGAAACCAAAGCGTTGCCTACAGATTTAAAAGAAGCCTCAGGACACAATAATATTGCTTCAAATGCAATGAAGCAGAACCAGAATGGTAGCGTGGTTCTGCCCATGAGATCTGTGTGGAATTCAGGAAATTCGTTGGCTCCAAAGGTACTGCACACTATCTTCAGAAGCCCTGCTCTTGCTCCTCCACCACCTTCACCTCCCCATCAGAGTGGTTTTGATGGGATTACAATGCCAAGGCTTCTCCTATTAGTTGCTTCATTCTGAACCTCTCTTGAGGTAGAGAGGAGGTAGTGTTCTTACATGTCATGGAGAGGATGTATGTAACGCAGATCGAGCTGCTTTTCATATCAGTCTACCTAGGTAAGTATACGGCCCCCATCCCCATAGTAACTAAGCACCTTTTCAGCAGATTACCCATGAGGTCCATGGGAGGATAACATATATACTGCATCTCCCACCCGTCCCGTCCCCCCCCAACCACACACTCCTCAAAATTCTCTCACCAGCTGCAAACCCTAATCCTGTTAAGAGTGCTCCCGTGGTAGGATGGAGCTACAGGGGTCTCCTCCTCTTCCACAGGTACAAGAGATCGGTATGGAAGAATCCAGGCCTTTGCTTAAAAATAATCTTTCATGGTAAATTATCAAACCATATATTATTTACCCGAGAGACACAAACAACTATCTTCAAATAACGATGCATCTCCCAGAGAACCTGAACTGTTGTAGTCTCCCCTGCTCCGATAAGGTGGATAGAAAGCTGGCTAAATCGTCAGGCTCAATGGATAGTGATCAATGGCTCCATGTCTAGTTAGCAGCCGGTATCAAGCGGAGTGCCCCAAGGGTCGGTCCTGGGGCCGGTTTTGTTCAATATCTTCATTAAAGATCTGGAGGATGACGTGGATTGCACCCTCAGCAAGTTTGCAGATGACACTAAACTGGGAGGAGTGGTAGATACGCTGGAGGGTACGGATAGGATACAGAGGGACCTAGACAAATTAGAGGACTGGGCCAAAAGAAATCTGATGAAGTTCAACAAAGACAAGTGCAGAGTTCTGCACTTAGGACAGAAGAATCCCATGCACTGCTACAGACCAGGGACCGAGTGGCTAGGCAGCAATTCTGCAGAAAAGGACCTAGGGGTTACAGTGGACAAGAAGCTGGATATGAGTCGACAGTGTGCCCTTGTTGCCAAGAAGACTAACGGCATTTTGGGCTGTATAAGTAGGCGCATTGCCAGCAGATCAAGGGACGTTATCATTCTCCTCTATTTGGCATTGGTGAGGCCTCTTTTGGAGTACTGTGTCCAGTTTTGAGCCCCACACTACAAGAAGGATGTGGAAAAATTGGATAGTCCAGCGGAGGGCAACAAAAATGATTAGGGGGCTGGAGAATATGACTTATGAGGAGAGGCTGAGGGAACTGGGATTCTTTAGTCTGCAGAAGAGAAGAATGGGGGGGGGGCGGCATCTGATAGCTTCTTTCAACTACTGGAAAGGGGGTTCCAAAGAGGATGGATCTAGACTGTTCTCAGTGGTACCAGATGACAGAACAAGGAGTAATGGTCTCAAGTTGCAGTGGGGGAGGTTTAAGTTGGATATTAGGAAAAGCTTTTTCACTAGCAGGGTGGTGAAGCACTGGAATGGGTTACCTAGGGAGGTGGTGGAATCTCCTTCCTTGGAGATTTTTTAGGTTAGGCTTGACAAAGCCCTGGCTGGGATGATTTAGTTGGGAATTGGTCCTGCTTTGAGCAGGGGGTTGGACTAGATGACCTCCTGAGTTCCCTTTCAATCCTGATATTCTATGACTCTGTGATTCATGCCTATACACTTAGGATGTCTGTTGTTAACCTACAATATAGTTAAAGTCATTCCAATAATAACTACATAACAAGTGTATTACAACTAAAAATACCGAAGCAATACATTTCTGAAACTAATACAGTAACATATAAATATTTCATCATCATTACAGTCCATACATTGAGGCTGAGTTATTAACAATATTGCAACATGTAAGGGGTGGTTTGTTTACACACAACCTTAACTTTGAACCACAAAACATAATTTAAAAAACCGTTCAATAATTCAATATATACCTATAGATAGATATATACATATTACCGTGTAATATATATAAGAGGACTGAAGTGTATAAGGTATATAATGGAAGTCAGTTAGGAACTCCACAGTTTATCAAAAATAGAGGGGGACACTGAAGTAACATAGGGAGTCATCAGAGTTTAGCAGCTTAGTAAAGCACACAGAGTTAAGATATGGAGATTTACTCTATTCAGATCCTTAAATTATATTGTGTGACAGACCCAGACCAGTGTGGTACAGGAGTCTGGTAGAGGGCAACTATACTGGTCACTGGATGAGTAGTTTTCTGTTCCC